GATTTTGAGTGAGATTGAGAGGTTCTATGGGCAGCTGTACACATCATCGTTGGAGCCACACGCAAGTGTGAGTAACGATCCGAGAGCAAGTCTTATCCGACACTATTCCGATGATATCCCGGACGTCAGTCTAAGCGAGATTAGAATGGCTCTCCAGCACCTTAAAAACGGTAGGGCCCCAGGCGAGGATGGAATTACAGCGGAGCTTCTGAAAGCGGGTGGAACACCGGTACTTGAAGTCCTTCAGAAGTTCTTCAATTCCGTCCTCCATGGTGGCACTACTCCAGAGGCGTGGAGCAGAAGTGCGGTGGTCTTGTTCTTTAAGAAAGGCGACAACGCTCTCTTGAAGAACTACAGACCGATTTCCCTTTTGAGCCGCGTCTACGTGCTGTTTTCGAGAGTCATTACGAATCGTCTCGCACGCAGACTCGACGACTTCCAGCCTCCCGAACAAGCCGGTTTCCGAAAAGGCTTCAGTACCATAGACCACATACATACCCTGCGGCAGATTGTACAGAAGACAGAAGAGTACAATCTGCCACTTTGCCTGGCGTATGTGGACTATGAGAAAGCCTTTGATTCCGTCGAAATTTGGGCGGTGCTACAGTCCCTTCAGCGGTGCCAAGTTGACTGTCGGTATATCGAAGTGCTGAAGTGTTTGTACAGTAGGGCTACGATGGCTATCCGAGTACAGAACCAGAGTTCGAAACCTATCCAACTGCAGAGAGGTGTAAGACAGGGTGACGTTATATCCCCGAAACTCTTCACCGCTGCATTGGAAGACGTTTACAAGCTACTGGACTGGAAAGGATACGGTATTAACATCAATGGCGAGTACATCACTCACCTTCGATTTGCCGACGATATAGTCCTTATGGCAGAATCGCTGGAGGACTTAAGCACTATGCTCAATGACCTCAATAGTGCCTCCCAACGGATAGGTCTTAAGATGAACATGGACAAAACAAAGATCATGTTTAATGTCCATGTCACACCTATGCCGGTAGTTGTTGGGAGCACTATGCTCGAAGTTGTTGACGAGTACGTTTACCTGGGACAAATAGTCCGACTAGGTAAGTCCAACTTCGACCGAGAGGTCAATCGACGGATTCAACTCGGCTGGGCAGCGTTCGGGAAATTACGACATATCTTCTCGTCAAGTATACCTCAATCTCTAAAAACTAGATTGTACAGCCAGTGCGTGTTGCCAGTGATGACTTACGGATCTGAGACGTGGTCCTTCACTGCTGGCCGTATGAGGACGCTCAAGGTCGCTCAGCGAGCTATGGAGAGGGCTATGCTCGGAGTTTCTCTGCGTGATAGACTCAGAAATGAGGATATCCGCAGTAAAACCAGAGTGACCGACATAGCCCAAAGGATTAGTAAGCTGAAGTGGCAATGGGCCGGCCATATAGCTCGAAGAACCGATAACCGATGGGGAAGAAAGGTTCTCGAGTGGCAGCCTCGTACCGGTAGGCGTAGTGTAGGACGACCCCCCACTAGATGGAGTGATGACCTGGTAAGATATGCAGGAAGTCGATGGATGCAGGAGGCTCAGGACCGTGCTTTGTGGCATTACTTGGGGGAGGCCTATGTTCAGCAGTGGACTTGTGAAGGGCTGTGATGATGATGATGATGATGAGGTAATGTGTTTTATTGATGAGTCAGATTAGTGTAGATAGGAACAAAGGAGTATAATACAATAGCATCACGCTGAGGAAGAATAGATAATGATGGTATTCAATGAACAATAGATAAGTAGATAAGAACAATGGAGCGCTAATGACGGTGGAGGCCTTCACCGGATATCAATTAGATAAGAGTTAATTGATCTGCACATCTCCGGAACCGTGCATCCTACGCAAAAATGGATTTCGATTCGTGATCAGAGCATGCCAAAAAAGGATCGTGAGTCGACGTACTTGTACCACTTCTGACTCAGTGAGCTAGAACTGGTACAACGTAACTACTATAATATGGTGTTTTGTGTAAGCAGAATAGAATCTGTCCTCGAAAGTATTTGAAAAATATAACAAAATATAACTAGATAAGTAAAATTTCCTCCGAATATCCAAAACATACATAAAAACAATTCATCCTACGGCGTTCGCGTATAATGTACTATATAATGTATGTATATACTGTAACGTTCAGTACATATACTGGTTTTTGTAAAATACTTGGTCGATAAAAGAAAGAGATTTTAAAAAAGCAGCACTTCTCATTGCCACTCTTTCATTAATAACGCCGATGCATGTCGAAGATCAAAATCAACTTATTTACAAACTACAGTGATTGACATTTACAAAGTTATACTACATTATTGTTATTTACAAATAAAAATTACCTTTTTAGCGATATCGCAGTAATTGTTCAAAATATCTGCCATTACCTTCTAAGCTAGCACGTCTTTGTAAATTGTTTGTTAAACTGCAAAGCTCTATCAATTTTATCACATTAAATGCGTATATTATACGCTGCTTTAAATCACAAACGCTTTGTGCTTCTGCTGTGTACATTAATCGTTTTAGTTCGACTCCCAAATAAATTTAGAGGTGTTAGGTCTGGTGATCTCGCCAGTCAGTTCAATTCAACAAAGATTCGAATTCCGACACAAGTTTGTTCCGACACTCGACGACGTGTTCCCGAGAAATATTAGCACGGCCGGTGTATAAAGCGTCGCCAATGCTGTCGACTGCATAACAATGAAAATTACTAATATAAATTTTAAGTTATACCACAGGACTAGTCTCATTTCTGTAATGGTTTTAGGGCAAGGAAGTGTCCGCCTCGCTGCCCCAATGCGTGTTGGCAAACTTCACATGTCTTCAAAATATTTTTTTTCTTATTTTTCAGACATTTTCACGCGGAGCACGTGGTAAATGAGCACTTAAAATTGTAAACAACAATTTGATTGGTGGCGTTCGAAACCGCATTACTCGCCTACTGTGAAATTTTCAGCGAGCGCTAACCATCTGAGCTACCACGGCTCTGCATAGCAATGAAAATTACTAGTATGCAACACATCATTGATTTTCAGAAGGAACAGGATAAGCGATATCACGCAACCTCGCTATGTCCAAATCAGTTTGGACATAGCGAGGCCTGCAGGTCTGCTGCCAAGGCCTCCCCCCTTGGCCTCGACCGTATATCCGCCCATCGCCGAATTTTAGTGAATAGATAGTTGAATATAATAGTAACATTTTCCCTTAACCGATGCAATCAACTACCTACCAATGATGGAATTCTAGGAATCAACACTGCTTGATTTGCTAACACAACCTTCTCATATCCTTTAATTCCACCATGTCCATTTTTTATCAATTATTGATTTGGAGAGGTTACTACATTCTATTTATATTATTATTATTGATACCAATATTATATAGTAAAGTAAGATCGGGGGATTTTTTGTACGTTGGGGCCTCAAGGGAATATATATATCTGATTACTTTTAAAACGCAAGGAGGAAATGTTTTCAGTAAGATTAAGATGTTATTGTGTTGTTGTGCTGTAATTGTTATGTTAAAATAAGTGTTATGGTGGCTTCAGATATGAGACAGCAGGTATCAAATACTTTTGTCGTCGACAGTCTTCTAGTTGCCAATGACGTTTTTTATAGAAGAGCGCGCAAACGATAATGCGACTCACCTGATGGTAATTGATTATCGCCGCCCATGATCAACTGAAACACCAGGAAAATTGCAAATACGTTGCCAGCCTTTTAAAAATTTTCGGTCCGGAAGATTTGATTCCGGGCTGGTGGTAGTCGATTACACAAGGAAGTTGCGCGAGGTAGAAAACTAGTCGCAGACGTAGCCTTCGTTGCTAATTCCGAGCGTGAGCTCCGTGAGGTTAAATATTAAACTGTTAAAACTTCATAAAAGTGAAAATTTCGGGTAATTTTCTCTATAAATAATTAACAACCCTGGTCACGTGACTCATGTTTTGTGTTGAAAAATTGCAATGTGATTTATGACAAAAAATCGCAAATAAGTGATTATGATTACTGGCTTATCTATGACAGGTGATTCCTTGAGGTTTTTTCATAAAAACAAAATTTTTGCAGAATTTAACATCGCAAGATAACATATTTCTTTTTATTTTGAATTATAACAACTACCTCTCGCGGACGACGCGACGTTTGTTGCATATGCCCTGTGGTTGCGTAATGATGCGAGGATGCTGCCGCTCGACTTATCATTAGTGTGAATGTGTGCGAGACCGCTTGTACGTAAAAGCGAGCAGTATTTTAGTACTGGGTTGTTTAGGTAGATTCAGTACGCGTTTTTTATACGTTCATGGGATGGATAAATAATGATGTATATATTAAAATTTTATGACGCGTTTTATAACTTATCATGATATTACTGCAACAACTAACGTAAAACCGCTGAATTTGCTCGTTAATTCTGGAAACTTTCTTGATGAAAAGGAATATAAGAAATTTTGTTATTATCCTTACTTGTAAGAACATAAAGTTCGTAGTCAAGTGTATGGCGAGTAAAGCGTTTCTGTTTTTATTTTTAATAGCCACCACGCGTCACCTGAAATTTTTAGAAATGGTGCAAAAGTGACGTTAGAGATTCCTTTTTGTGAATGAGTGATTTTGGTGACAGCGGTTTTGGTACAAATTTTGCGTTTCGCCACTTCCTCTCGATTTTTTTAATATTCCGTGATAATACTAAAATGCGAAAACTGCTGTATACTTCTCTGTGTGGAGAATAGATGTTTAATAAACACCGCACTATGAAAAAAGAAACTTCTTTTGGTATGTCGCTTTGTTGTAGTGGTAACGCGTCAGTTCATCACATTTCGCAACAATAGGTAAGAAAATGAATGAATCAGTACAAGGTTGCTTTAAGAGCTAAGCTAGTAAAACATTATTATAAAAATAAACATAATTTCTTTATTTAAATTAATAATTTTTCAAAAATACATAAATAAATCAATAATCTAGATTACGGTCCGCTAAGTGGGACGGTAAATTGCTGATGACATCACATACTTGATCCAACTTCTTCTGTGCAGTCACTCTGCGCCATAACGCAGGGCATTCGGTGTTTTCGCAATGCAAATAATTTGAGTGGCCGCAGCACGATCTGCATAACTGAAACAAGATTAATATACCTAGTTAAAATTACAGCCTAAATGCGTCTCATAATACACACACAGACAGGCCTATCATATCTAAATGTTATGAAGTAAATACTCCGCGTAGCTCCAAAGGGGTTTTTGGACTTCAAATGTCCTGAATTTTTTTTCCTAACCATTACACTGTCCCGTGATCATATATAATTTTTACAGCCGAGCCTGTAGTAAACTGGCATTTAAAATTGCAATCAAAAATTTCAATCGTGCTAGCGATGATCAAACTCTGGTGCTTACTATAAAATTTACGGTAAGCCCCCGAGCTACCCTGGCTAAAATAAGTAAATTAATTTTCTTATTGTTTCATTATCATCAATATTATTACAGATCATTACAAGTCCACTGCTGAACATAGGCCTCCCCAAAGGAATACCACAAAGCACGGACCTGAGCCACCTGCATCCATCGACTTCTTGCATCTCTTACCAGATAGTCACTCTATAAAATGGGGGCGGTACTATACTTTGCTTAATAGTACGAGGCAGTGGTGGTACCCAAGCCAAAAAGCCTGACATGCCCTAATAAATTCATAACACCGAACGTAAGCTGATTACGAGACAATATTTTAATTTTCGCGTGCTTATGTAGGTATATACGTAAAACCGGTATGAGAAAATATTTTAATTTTCGCGCGCTTACGTAGATAGAATAAGAGATAGGTAGGGTAAAATAAGAGGTATTCTTAGGTCATTGGATAATATTTAGCGCGAGCTTAGTACTTAAAGGAAAGAACTTCATACGTCATATTATGGTCAGAAAGTACGTATGATGCGCCTTTTGTTTTCTCTCTCTTTCGCTTTAGAATAATATTTTGTATAATATATTTATATACTTCTCATTAAAAAAATCGAAACACATTCGTTTTAATTTGTTAAAAAATTGAAACACCTAATTTAATACAAAAGAGTTTTCATTCCATGAAAAAAAAAGTTATTGTATGGCTGGCAATCTGGCCATTACAATGGTAAGCGTAAATTCAAAATTAGAATTTCATTTGTTTATCCTCTAAATGAAATGAATCACTATTTTGAGACAAATGTGCGGCTGCAGTCGGAGACCATTTCACGTTTAAAAACTAAAAATTTGCGATTATCTTTAACGTTTTTGTTTTTAATTTGTTTACTGTGACTTTAAGACGTCTGAAAAAAGTTTTATTTCCTAAAACATAATATGGATACTTCGCCCACAGAAGCCGCCCAAGTGGTGGCATTGCTGGATTCTGGACATAGTCAGAGTGTGTCGTGTCGAACATTGCATCTAAGCCTGTCATCTATTCATAGAGTCTACAACCGCTATCGAAAGACTGGTATGTTCACACGCCGTTCTGAATCTGGCAGGAGTCACTTCTGAGAGAAATGATCGATTTATTGTATCAACATCCTTACGAAATCGGCGCCTTATAGCATTTCAACCACAGCAGCAGCTTCAAGTTGTACGAAGGGTCGCTGTAAGTGACTCTACAATTAGAAGAAGATTGAACTAAACGTGGATGTGGACACAAGGCAACAAATGGACCGAAATTAACTGCAGACCATCGAAGAGCGCGCCTTCACCTTGCACGCGAGCACCTAAATTGGTCATACCTACAATGGAGCAAAGTTGTCTTCTCTGATGAATGTAAAATCATGCTCTATGGTAACCACGGAAGGAGCAAGGTCTACAGAAGAGATGGAGAACGCTTTGCACAATGCTGCATTGAAGAAAGGGTCAGTTATGGTGGTAGTTCGTGGACGGTTTGGGGAGGAATCAGCGCCGACGGTAAGACAGAGCTTGCCTTCGTGTCTGGGCCACGTCTACCTGCTTTGAACTCTCATCGGTACGTGGAACAGTGCCTAGATCCTTACGTGATGCCCTATGCACACTTTTCGGCAACGGGTTCACATTTATGCACGATAACGCCAGAGCCCACACCGCGAGCGTCGTACGTGATTACCTAACCGAAGTCGGTATCTCCATAATGGAATGGCCAGCAAGGAGCCCGGACATTAATCCAATTGAACATCTCTGGGATCAACTAGAGGCAAATCCGAGCGAGAGATCCTGCCCCAGACTCACTTGACCAACTGAAAAGTCCCATTCAGGAAGAATGGGATATCATCCCACAGCATGTCATCGCAACTCCAATCCAATCGATGAAAAACCGCATGGAAGCGGTGATAAGAGCTCGAGGAACACACAAGGGAAGACTAGTTATTAAACGTTATTTAATAAAAGTTTTTCTGTTTTTTTTTTCACCTACGTGTGTTGTTTCATTCAGTATGTTGCCTTCGTTCTCCATACAAAATAAAAATGACTCATTAAAGAAAACATGAAACCTATGAAAATTTAATTTGAATTTAGAACAATAACATTAGAATTTGAAAACCTCATAAAACTCACTATTAAGCGACATTTGATATTTATTCGTAAATAATAAAAAAAACTGATAATCCTTACAAAACATAAACTTGCAAGGTGTTTCGATTTTTTTGATGAGAAGTATATATTATACAAAATATAACAACACGATATATTTTAATATGTATCTTGTTATTTTAATTTTGTATTATGCTATTTAATTTATTTAAAGATTTGTATATAAGTACCCGTTCAAATATTTATTATTAATTCTATGTATATTTATTCATTTTAGTATGTATATTTTTACTAAATAGTATATTCTATTTATTTGCATTTTCTGTGCCGTATATATTTATTACTTATTTATTAAATGAGATGGCCAAGATATGCCCCAAGTTGTACAAAAATAAGACTATTGCTAATAATTTAAATAAAATAAAAAAGAATTTTGAATAACTATTAACATTTCATAGCAGCTGTTGAAAAATAATCAAGATTAAAAGTATTTAAAGTGATTTCTTCTCTTTGAAGTCGCTCTATAATACCTTTAATGTGGCTATATAAATAATTTAAAAGATCAGTGTAGGGAAAAACAATAGCTAAACTCATAAAAATACTTTATTTTTGATATCTTATGTATAAAAAGAAGCCTTCAATTAATAAATTAATACATCAAAATACTTTTATTTATTTGTTTAACACAGCAACAGCTTAAAACATGTAGCGTTACATTATAGGGTAGGGTTATTTTACTTTAGTACTTGCAACACTGAATCCGTCCGTCAAGCATCAAAACAGTCAAAGTGTCAATGTCAGACTTGGGGTATGTTCCGAAATACAACCCAGTCTACTGTCCAATGCAAATGACGTCATGAATCGACGCTATACTGGTGATTCGTTCCAAAACATAGAACAGTATATGACGACATACATTTGCGTCATATTGGAAAAGTATTGACAATTATTTTGTCATTTTGTGCTCCAAAAATAATTATATCCTCCTAATGTAGATACCAGCAATTATTCTATAATTTTATGTATTTGAATAAATAAAAACAAATTTCGGCATGCTTCATTCAGCGCACACACAATTAAAAATTGTTTTATTATGGCCGGATATCCGACACAATAAGGCAGCGGCACGCCAGTTCAATATGGTGTCAATTGATGGCGTCATTTGTATTCGGCAGTATACTGGAAACGTTTCGGAACATACCCTTAAAATGATTTACGTCTACCGACTTACGCACCGTTTTTTGGTATATGATATATGACGCTTTTCCTTCGTATTTGTTTTATCGTATTTTACTTTTATTTAATAAATACCGTAGCCCCACGCGACTGCTCCAGTATGTATAAACGGTGCAATACGTAAGTTTAATTATTTTCTGTCTAATATACTTCGATCAATAATAGTTATGTTACAAAAACTAGTTACAAATAATAATTTCAAAGACTAAAAAAACTGCTGTCCTTGTTTTTTTTAGCTAAACCAGTTAGGATACATCCTAAACATCATGCATATACATTAAACACCCATGAATTGGAACTTTATTAATATCTATATTGTGTAATAATGATAAAAACCGACTGCCAAAATCCACTTTTTTAAAACTTCATAACTTTTGTCCACTACTGCGTAGCTACATGTACTTTTCTAATTCTTTATATAGAAGATCTGTACTTTCAAATGACATAGATTTCATCTCTGTCATTTGAAACAGTATGGGGCACAGGTTTATACAATTTTTGGCCATCTCCTTTATGAATGATTGTTAACACCTGCCACGGTTTCTCATAACGTCAAAAGGCATTAAGTCCGCCCTTTATAACCCTTATAAGGTGTTTAATAAAGTTTAAATAAATAAATAAATAAAGGTAAAAATTATAATTCTTAAAAATCAACCATAACTTTACCATATACTGCGCCTGTGACGTATTTAAAATTCGTAAAACTCATAAAAGACAATTTAATAGATCCATGTTAGCTCATTAGGTTGTTGATTGTTCGCATTCAATATATATTATTATTTAACCTATATGATATACCATGAAATTTATTAATATTTAACCCATGGGAATGAGGTGATCGCTACCATGCTATTTCTAATTTGTTTTGCGTTGTTAGTTATTGTGTACTAACAACACAAAACAAATTAGTGTATTTATTAAACATTAGTAAACTATTCAATTCCGTTAAAGTCCCGTTGCGTTTTTTGCTGGTTCTTCCTAGAACAGAGATTTTCCCGAATTAGAGGTAAATTAAACATAAATAAATCTTTTTTGTTAATATTATTCTAAGCCAGGGCTTAGTTACAATCCCAATTGATGGTAAGTGGTGATATAGCCTAAGATGATAAAGCGCATTGACTTTACAAAAATCTATTCATTCTTGCCTTGAAGACGACATAGTTATTGGATGGAAATACAGATTTTGGTAACTTATTCAACTCTTTTGCTGTACGCATGATCAACGTTGTAGCAAACCGTTTGGTTCGAATCCGTAAGGTAAGTCAACAACGAAAGGGTGGACACTAGTCGATCGTCTGGTTGTCCGATGGTGGAAGGGAGAGGAAGAAACAAAATAATGCAATTCCTGCGCACACTCTCCGAAATGCATCCTGTAGAAAACCGAAAGGCTTGCTGCTTTGCGCCTGTTTTCGAGGCTGGTATGATTTGTTTGGGTGCGTGCGTGCGTGCGTGTGTGTGTATGTGTGTGAGCGTGAGCGATTAAGTGATCTTCATAAACAATTATGTGTCGGCGCTAGGTAGCACTTACCTCGTGGCAGTGGTTCAGGTGGGTGAGCGCGCGTGCGTGCCGCGCGGCGAGCGCGTGCAGCGAGCGCGGGCGCGCCGCGCAGCTGCCGCACAGCGAGCGCGAGCCGCGCGCGCCACACGCCGCGCACCGCCCGCGCTGCATGTAGCGCGCTATGCCGCCCGCGCCCCGCCCGCCCCCCGCACACGCCCGCTCCACCTGCGCCTCCCGACCGCACACCACCTCCCGCCACCTGCGACCGTGCAATCATATGTACTAGTGTGTTGTTCTTCGCAACGCAATACTTGAGTTTTTAAATACTATATTATATTCCCTCGGCCTAGGCGCGTTAAGTGCTCTCCCGTCATCGCCAATCCCGCCCCCGTAAAAAGGACCTCCGGGCAAGGCGTAAGCCTTCCAGTGCCTTCATCACTAAAAACAAACGCATGGGTAAAGCCCCTGGCGATAGTAAGCGCAGCCGCCTCACGGCCTACGCCCTCTCTCTAGGCTCAGAAGTCCAAACCCACCCCTTAGGCACCTTCAACTTTCGCTGCTGACTACTAGTTAGGCTGCAGCTTCATTAGCGACATTAATGTTGCTGAAGTCACATCCTGGACCCGCAAACTTCGTGAGGCCAAGTCCGCGCAAGATAAACTCAAAGCCACTATTGAGCATATCCACCTGACTGACGCGATCGGCTCGTTCCAATGCTCTTAAGCCAACCCCCATATAAATCAGAATGGCAGTACAAAATACTGGTAGAACCAAGCCTAGCTCTCTGACTGTCAGTTTTTTTAACGCATACGGCATGGCATTAGAGATCAAAAGTAAGAAATCGTCTACATTTACGCGATTATGATGTCGACATTATGCTAGTGCAAGAGACTTTCTTGAAACCTAGTATGCGCGATCAAAATAGCTAATTACACCTTAGCGAGAAATGATAGGCTGACCGGACCTAAAGGCGGCATTTAGATCTACTACAAAAGATCCTTGCAATGTGTACCGATAGATACTCCGCCGCTCACTAACTTAGAAGCATCGGATTGTAGGATAGCACTTACGGGCCATCCACCTATAATAAATACATCGGCATATCAGCCACCGTTAAAACATATATTAGATGCCGACATATCAGTAACCTGACGGAGAGACTTAACTTCGACGTTATCGTTCCCGAGAGTTCAACCCGCTATCCTTTCTCTTCACACCAACATCCGAACGTTCTTGATGTAGCATTACTCAATGATATATATAATCGATTTTTTAATGCGTACAGCAAAGGAGTGGTATAATTTGCCGGCGTCTATCTTTCCGTCCGAATACAATCTGGGCGTCTTCAAGGCAAGAGTGAGTAAGGTTTTGTTACGCTAAGACAGAGCGATTCACCATCTAAGGCTGCATCACCAGTTACTACCAGGTGGAACTGTGGTCAAGCAGTGGCTTATAGAAAATAAAAAAAAGATAACCGGGTTACTGTTAAATCGATACTAAACTTTTTACAACTGGTGAGGTCTTTCAGACCAAAACCGTCGTCGACTGGCGTAAACTCGAGGTCAAACTCAAGTCTACGAACTCCCAGCATTTAAACACTATACCGGAGAAGATAGACTCGACGGATGAAGCAAATAGAGCAATGAGCGCCTTATCGACTCACCTCACTTCAGCGGTCGAAGAATGCGCCCGTAAGGTACGTGTGTTGAGTTCGATAACTGATTAGAGCGAAGAATACCGCATTAAGATCTTATGACCATTATCGCACGGAAGATAGCAAATTTCGGGTGCGTTCTCTACAAAATGAGATTAAACAACGACTAACCGAATTTAGACACGATAAATGGGACAACCTCTTAGAAGGAATTGAACCATCCCAAGACGCTTTCTGAAAGCTATCGAAAGCTCTAAAAACAGAGCAAGCATCTTCCATGTCGCCTCTCGTGAGGCAAAGCAACTCCGACTTCAACAATCTAGAGCCAATGCACTCCATCCAGCGTAACAATAGATCCCGCTCACCTACTAGATGTAGAAGCGGAAGTCGAATGTAGGTCTGCGTTACCAGCAGCGGGCGAACTACTCGATCCTGTGACCGTAAATGAAGTCATGGAATGCATAAAAAGCCTTGAGAATAGATTAGTCCCTGGGCCAGACGGCATCAGCAACAAGGTGATCAAATCTCTTTCGCCACCACTTATTTCGCTCCTCGTAGGAATTTTCATCACTTCTCACGAGGTGCTCCTTCCCAGATGTCTAGAAAGAAGCAGACGTAATAGAGATCCCAAAGCTGGGGAAACCGCGCAATAGACCGACTTGGTACAGATCCATCAGTCTACTCAACACATTGGGTTAAATTATATGAGCGCATTATTCTGAAGCGTCTCCGTCACTTAACTGTAATTAACAGACTTCTCCCTGACGATCAGTTTGGCTTAAGAGCCGAAAACTCGATCACTCATCAAATTCACCGCCTATCAGAGTATATTCTGTCTGGCTTCAATCGTAAGCCGACAAAGAAAAAGTCTCATAACACCAGAGCCCTCTTCTTCGTTGCGTTTGGCAAGGTCTGTCACGACGGCATGCTTTAAAAGCTGTATAAACTAAACGTGATCGATAGGCTCGTGCTCATCATATGAGCCTTCTTTCAAATCGCACTTTCCGCTATCGAGTGGAGGAAACCCGTTCAACGTTCCCTAAAGGCCGAGGTTCCTCTTGGCTTCGTCCTATCTCCACTCCTCTTCACATTTTTCACGAGTAATATTCCAAAAGGCCTTGTGGTGAACACCGCACTCTTCGCCGATGAGGCACTCTATGTATCTAATTATATAAGAATAGTCTTACTTTGAAACTCCAAAAAGCTACCAATCGCTTAAGCGAATGGTTCCGCCTATGTAGAATCGAAGTGAATCCCGAAAAAAGTGTAGCAATATACTTTCAACGGAGTGCAACGTCACACCACATGCCTTGTGGACCAAAAACAAAATTAAAAGTAATTTCTCTATACGGCCGGCCCATCCCTTGGGAAGAATCGTCAAAATACCTGGGCGTCACGTTCAACGCCCGCATGAGTTTTGCGAAACAGATAAGTGTAGTAGTCATTGGCCGTCTCCACTCTCTTGTTAACAGAAAGAGTAAACTGTCGTTAAGACACAAGCTTCACCTGTACAAAACCTGCGTTAGACCTATTATGTCTTACACAAGTGTAGCTTTTGCTTAGATATAAGACCCATCTTCTTGAACTATAAAAAGTCCTAAAAAATTTCATCCGGAAAGCCACCCAAAAAGCATGATGGTACCGACGGAACTCAGATTTGCACAATGATTGTCAAATTCCGTCTATACTTCAAGAAGAGTCTCAGCGCTACTTCGATAGCGAAAACCACCCAAACCCGCTAGCGGCGAACGCAGGCAACTACGTCCTAATAGCAAACGTCGCGTCGTATCGTAGCCGGACACGACGCGTTTAGCACACACCGCGTACACAGCATACCTTTCTCATCGCCCAGAACATCAACCGACACGAGCTAAGCAGTCAGAGGCGGGGATCCGCACTACCCCACTCGAACAGCGGATAGCTCAAAACCACCACAGAGGCGACATAATGATTGGTAACAATAACAAATCATAAACCATCATCATCATTATCCTCATCACATAGGCATAGGCTAACAGCACTTACATCTCAGAAAATAGATTCAGGCGGAGGGGACGCTCATCGTGCTGTCACCTTTCTCTTCATACGTCTCCCACTGAGGCGTTGACATGCACATTGTGATAGTATATGTATGTAATGAAGCCATCAGTTGCGAGTGTGCCTTCGCATGTTATCGTTATTGATTGACCTCACGCACACATACACACAATCGAGCGGGCTTCACTTGTGGCAAATACCAGTCGCCAGCTCGATTCGTGAATTACAAGAACCTTTTTTTGACAAAGACTAAATAAGTTTGAGCCCGTGGGTTCTAACGCGTGTTATCAACAATCAAGTCTCGACGTATCTTCTAATAACATAGTACATATTACTTTAATGTGACTGTGTCCTTTTTGTATACAATCTAACCAGTTGAGGACGTGCACGCCGAGCAGCGAGAGGCAGCGGTGCAGCGGCGGCAACAGCACGCGCGTGGCGTAGTACGGCACGTGCGGCTGCGCGGGCTCCCGCAGCAGCTCGGCGGGTGAGCGCGCCAGACGGGCCAGCGCGGCGCCCGGCGGCCCAGCGCACACCTGCCACGCCACGCGCCACCCCGCACGCGGCGCACCGCGCCCGTCCCGCGACACTAGCCTCCTACCACACAATGCAGTACACATGTGTCAATCGATTCGGTCATTTGACACGGATCAATCAAATTTTTTTGAACGATCGGAAAAAATGTTTGACAGAACTTTGATCGTTTGCATCGATCGATCGATTGTTAATAATAATTGTGATAATCGCCTCGACCAAACTATACTCCTATTATATGTAAGACAGAAACACTGATGTAACTAAACCAACCGCAGAGTTTTGAAATCGATAAGTTTTTTGAAAAAAAAATAGGAAAATGATTTTAAAGTAATTTTTCTATGGGGGTCTGAGGTATCATAGGTAAAGCTCTATTATAGTTCCTGCACGAATGGGTCGGCTCGACCGGGGCAGAACCACGCTCTAACAGAATACCAGCGTAAAATAGCAGCGTAATGCGACCCTTTTTACTGGAATCGAGGCATTCCATCTTAGTCCACAGCGGTGACAACGCATTTGCATTTTGATTCTTAATTGAGGATAAATAGACATCCTATGGGCCACAGCATTCACTTACCATCATTGACTGTGAACTGTGTGCTCATTTGTCACCCAATGCTATAAAAAAAATCGCAAAAGATCTCTAGCCCAAAATAGTTTGGGAATCCCTGCTCAAGATGATTTTTTTGTTATAAACCAAATTGATAAGTAACTTATAAGACATTTCGTGTAAAATTGACTTAAAAGATGATTTTCGACCCCGGATTGACGCTATTTTAATATGCTATTATTAAAGAAATTGTAACATTTTGTTTTACTTTTTAAATCAAAATATAATTTATTTTAATTATAAATCAATAAAAAAACAAGTTTTTACGTAAACTTACTTCAAATCAAGAACATGATGGCCCGCGCGGAAAGAAATTTGCCGCACGTGCGGGAGGTAATTTGTCGCGCATTTATCGTGTCACTGCCACTGCCAGAATGCTATTGTTTTTCAATGTGAAAGGTCGCGCTGTTATCTATTTCATAATAATTTTTAGATGTTTGAAGCATGAAAAGAACCTTTAGTGCATTCAAGTGTCCCTTAAAGAGAACACTTTACCTGAATGAGGATTGATGAAGTACTACAAGTGGACCAGATATCAATTAAACTTGCAACTGGAAACTGTGAAAAAGCCTATATTTTCACAAATAGGAGATATTGTGGCAACTAGAGTTAAAAATATCTGGCAAACTGTGTCTATTCCGATCGTAACCAGAACACAAGTTATACAAATGTTAAAAGCCTACCACTAATAATGTAAAAATTTACTCAAGTCTATTAAGAAGCTCTCTTCAGAAAAATTGGAAAATTTTTTGAGAAAATAGTAAGCGGCTGTTTGATGGAAATCCCTGCTCTAGATGATTTTATTGTTATAAACCAAATTGATAAGTAACTTATAAGACATTTCGTCTAAAATTGACTTAAAAAATTAATATGAAATAATAATAATTACTGTTGACATGTACAGGTACACCTAATTAGAAATTTTTAAAATTTAAGACTGGATAAAATGTTGTACTTTTTTAATTTATTGTTGACATCTATCTTTATGTGTGCTACTTATATTGAGACTTTTTAATCTTGAATAATCGTACTACTACTACTACATTATTTTTTAGAACTATGTACATTTAATAAAATTATATATTAACACGCCACTGATTATTCTATTAATGTCGGTAACCACCATATTTCTAACAAATAAATTATTATCATTATGTAACTTACTTAGCAATTTCATTAGGCGGCGCGGCTGCCCCAGGTCTGTACCCAGCGGGCCCGTGGTATTCGCGCGTGAAGAACAGTTCTTCGGGCGGCATCGTGCCGTCCACGAGTCGGGACAGAGTCGTGCACACTATACGCTTCACACGCGACATATCGCCCGTATCGAATAACTCGCAAAGCGCACGCTGGAGTAGCTAAAATAAAAATTAAATTCTATGATACGTAATTTCATAAATTCCGGGAGTCAAATCCGCGGGTCGGGAAAAAATTAGTTATTGGGTTTTTCTGTCAAAAAAAAAATCAGTAGCAGCCCGAAGTCAGGAACTTGGCAGATAGTTCCGCTGAGACTGGCTGCTAGGGTTGCCACCCGTACTATAATATTATCGTATCATATTATCGTATAATAATGTCCTCCAGACCGCATTTCGGTCACGGCGGCCTGCCTCAACGGAGACTAGCCATTGGCGCAGGTAAGGATTATAGTGCCCAAGTGTATGCGCAAGCACAGGTGCACTCTCTATTCCCTCACTCTCATAATCCAATGGGACGGTAAACCGATACGACCAGAGAGAGATCAGGTGCAGGAGCAACAGCTTTAGGTGCTTTCCGAGGCACGGGGGTGAGACACCGCCAACTTCCTGACTCCAGGCAGCTACTGAGAATTTCTTGGCAGAAATACTCAATAATTGATTTTTTGGCCCGACCCGGGATTCGAACCCGGGACCTCATGATCAGTAGTTGCACTACAACCACTAGACCAACGAGATAGTCTATCGTATAATATAATATTATCGTACTATATTTAGTTAATATTATAGAAAAATTATATAGTAAGAAAAATACTATATTTTATCCCTATTAACTGTAATTGAAGTTTGGAACTAGTAAGTATTACGGATTTTTTCCATCATGAATGTTAAATTGAAAGAAGAAAGAAAAAGAGCATGTATTAATTTAAATAAAAAATCATTGTTAACTAATTTAAATATGAATCTAAATTGCTCAGACCTATTGTTTTAAATGTAAGGTAGAATAGAAGGTAAGGTGGTTAGGTCATTAATGGCCAAAGCAAAGAGCATTAACAAATATGTATGGAAAAATACATAAAGGTAAAAAATATATGTGTATTTTTATTTTATCCTCCCAAATTTCTCAAAAGTGCTATATTTTTGCATCTTTTTTGAGAAAAAATACTATATTTGTTCAAAAAAAGGTGATCAGGAAGACATTACATTTGACGAACACTTAGTTTAGTGAACCCGGTCTTAGATTAGAGGAATCCCATTTGGAATCAATTTTTACGACAATTCTTTGCCGATAATTAAATATCTTTGTTGTTGACGCGAAACAGTGACCATTGGGACCATAAGGCACTACAACCAACAGCACAAAAAACTGAGATTTCGATTTTATCATGTAAGCTACATCGGCTGCGCTTGTATTTTGCGCAATAGATAGATTTTGAAAGTATTCACAACTTTTGGCATTGGAAGAAATTGGCCATCAAGGGCAACTTTATTTTTTTTTAAATTATTAACTTTAATTATACCATCGTTTGAAGAGTGCTGTAGGAATGGTTCCACAGATTAGGAACTTTAAAAGAATGGTATGACGAACTAAAAAAATAATTAAATGTCTATTTAAGTTCGGTAACTAATTTGGAATAAAACTAATTTTACGGATTTTGTCGCGTTTAATTTTAACTATTAATTAATTAATTGCCGATGTTTCGGGTACTTTATTAAAAAATTAATAATTAAAGGTGACATCAGAACGTCAAACAACCCAGTCCCCTCCCACACCCTCGTGACCATGGGTGCTGTAAAGGCCCAAAATGTCGGGAATTAAAATTTAAGAAATCATTGGTACCGAATTAGTGATAAACAGCGTTGTGCTTTCGCCAAATGGTCTGTGCCAAAGTGTTTCTTTCCTTAAATTATTACGTCATACCGTCTTATGACATTTTGAAAGTAAATAAATAATGCTCTTTTTCTTCATCACTCCTGTATAATCCGCAGAACAAACCTTGTTGTAAGGCTGATTTGCTATAATCCACACACTTAACAAACAGTATTTACGACTACAGAACCAGACTACATATACGTGGTAGAGTCACGCTGCAGCTATATTAAGTTTGTAGCACGAATGGGTCGGCTCGATCGGGGAAGGACCTCAATCTTACAGATTACCAGCGTAAAATAGCAGCTTAATACTGCTGTGTACATTTTTTACTGGAAACGAGGCATTCCATCTTAGTCCTCAGGGGTGACAATGCATCTGCATTTTGATTCTTAATCGAGGATAAATGTAGATGTCTATGGGCCACAGCATCCACTTACCATCGGGTGAACGGGGTGCTTGTTTGTCATCGTGTGTTGTGTGCTGTGATATAGATTTAAAAGAAGAAACTTTAAGGGCCGATCCTCATTATAATGCCGTTCACAGTTTGTTCTCGGTCCGATCTCGGTCTGATAAAATATTAATGTGTGTGTATCCATACTATCCGTAACAGTCAAGTTTCGCTCGTATCCCATTCGAATAATATAATAAATCAGACCGAGATTAGACCGAGAACGAACTGTGAACGGCAAATGAGGATCGGCCCTAAATTTGACAGAAATTTTAATTTTATACCTTTACTCCTGCAGGACAACCATCTCTTCGCACCGTTTCGATACCCTTCGCTTCGTAGACGGGTTTCTTTTGATCTGGACTTTCATACATATATCCCACATAGCGTTTTTTCGTTTGTAGAATGCATGGTTGATATACCTGACAAAGTATGTGATTAGTATTAAGCCTTCAACGAGTCTTAATATTGATAATAATCTAATTTCAACCAGTATCATTCAGATAAGAAATAGAGTATCTCCTTAAAAGACAGTCTCCTGTTTACGTTTAACAGGAGTCCTACAGCCAGCTAAATAATATATCGAGATTTTTCTGTTTTAGTTTCATTATTTATCATTCACAATGTCGATTATGAATTTTGCTCTGTAATTTAATTGAATTCACTATAATATGTGATTTCTATAATATGGCTTTATTTCTTTTAAATATAATTATACCGAAATTTGCTGTACTAGTAATAAATCTGTTTAGTTCTTCCAATACCTTCTCAAGTTTTAAGGCCACTGGGGAAGGATTATCTGCAGTCACAGCATCAGCAATTTCTTGTCCTATTTCAAAGGCTTGCGCACGGCTCCCGCCCGGAACTAACACAAACATAGAGTCAGTGTCGCCGTATATCACCTAAAACAGTTTTTTTTAACAATATTTAGTGACGCTTTACAGTGCTGTTAGATTTGAGTTGTTATTATGTTTATAAACGTATTTCTTCTTTATCGGCCCGTCATTGTCTACTACTGGAGACGGGTCCCGTCCGATGTAAGGAGGATTTGCTTTAATGGTCAAGCGTAACAGGTAGATTGAAGATCGCAGTGCCAGACGTCTCGCACTTTTGACACTGCTGCAGATCTACAGGTTTAAGTATTTTACGTCTGACATAAACGTGATTACCGCCATCTATCGGAGGCCATATCATTTTCTGACATTTCCCATAGTCGCCTCTTACGACACCAACAGGTCGAAATTGGAGGTTATATGAAATAAATTTTATTTTACTGGGAATGAAGCATGCCATCCTTAAGGGTGACAACGTATCTGTATTTTGAATCTTAATCGTGGTCGTTTATGGTGGCTGTGAGATGTTTATGGGTGTCAGCATCCACTTACCATAACGTGGACTGTGTGCTGTGTGCTATTGTCACCCTTATTCTATACTGGATGATTTTTTTACCATCTAGAAAAAAATAGTGTGTAACAGGTGAACAGAATAGAAGCATCATGTCTGGAAAAAGGCCGTAGTAACAGTGAACGGAATGAAAGCCTATGGCACTGATATTTTACAATTTTTTTGCTTTTACATTAACATATGAAATTAATCTATCAATAAATACTACTAATTTTAAATAAACTTTTACTATTAAAAATAAATAAAAACAATAATTTTGAACTAAACAAATAAATCAGTTAAATACTATCGAAATTAAAATAATATCTACGCACCCTATTAGTAGTAGGTATACATATGTTGATAGATCAATTTCATAATATGTTAATGTAAAAAAAAAGTAAAATATCAGTGCCATAAGGCTTTCATTCCGTTCACTGTTACTATAGCCTTTTCCAGACAGAAAAAAAATCATCCAGTATATAAAAAAATATAATATATATTAATACGTATACCGTTACTTTTTACTAATTGGGATTGTAATTCGCCTTATAATAGTAAGAGAAATCATCATTTCGTCTCGTCCTGATTGATTAATTTATCACAATATCTATATTGTCAAAGAAATTTTAGAAATCACTTGTAACTAATTACTAATACTAAAAAATATCAATGGCATGGTGTCTAGGTGTCTAGGTTTCACGTAGTTTCAACTTGACGATGTTCACGGTGACGCAGTCGACATTCAGTAGTCTACTATGATCTCGTATAGGCTGATCTCTTAATAACTTATACCTGTCTTACTTTTACCAAATTTCCTTAACTCCTTTTATCCTAATGCCGCAGTCACATACAACGCGATAGCGGGAATATTCGTTAAGTCATTACGTGCGAAGTTGCAAGCAACATTGCATCGCTGTTAGTAATCTCTCGTACATCAAAGCATTTTATATATAACTTGGCTTGTGCCACACAAGCGAAGTTCTGTCGATCCACAAACATCGTGCGTAGAGGGCGTATTGAAATAAATTAGAGTCTGCGACGTATTTTCGACAATGAAAAATTTTTGAAGTAATGAGAAGATTAATAATTTGATGTGACATTTTGAGCAAATAATGCAGGTATCTAAAGCTGGGCCCAGTTGCCAAAATTGTAGTAAAAAAATATTAATTCGATGCCATATAATACAGGGCGATCGGGGCGTCTGTTTTGTGTTTAGCGGGTGTTTATTGCGATAAACTATCGATGAACTTTACAACGCGCAGTGTGGCCAGGCGCCTTCACCGTAGACCGAAGAAGTTTATCGCGATGATTATTCTATCGCGATATATGTAGCCTAGGTATAAAGGATATAGCTTAAGTAGAGACTAATATACATACTACTGTTGCCTAATTTTTATTTTAAGCAAGTATTCCAATGTTTTCTTCATTATTAAAAAAATATTCTCAAGAGTAAAATGTTCGCGAACCTAAAAAGTCCATGATACGCCTTTTCTTTCAGCTTTGAATTTAAAAAATATTGTTGTTTGTTACTGGCATATATCATGGTTAGTCATCATCACCACGCAATATGAATGGAATCTCTAAATATTAGTTTAGCTTGTATTTAATATATTCAAATATTACTTTGGGCAGATAAAAAAAGTTAAAGCAACTGTTACAATGACTTTTAGAAAACAGAGGAAAAATAAAACGTAAGGTACACTTTTTACACTTACTTATTATTTAACAGTACATACGTAATATTAAAAAGGTGATAACGTACTTTAGCATTCCACTTCGAGTTGTTTTCCACAAGTTTGATCGCCCGCTCGAGTGTTTCACGACCTTTAGCTACTACGCTGTCGCCAACTTCAACGCAAGGCATGCGTCCGCTAAAGTTAGCCGCGGTATAGCCATATGTGACGTTTGCAATCAGTTTTAAACCTGCAAAAATAATTATAATCTTATTAAGTTTAAGTCTGTATTGTAAATGTTCTGAACTGAATACTTCTTTATTATCGTTCTGATTTGAAACTCGATCAAACGAAAGAGCACTAAAAAAACATATACATCTATAGGATTAGCCTCTGAAAAAATCAAATAGAATACAGTATAGACCGTGAAGCCGTGAACTCAAAAGATTGTGGATCCGAATCCGCCATTAGACTACTGTCTTTTGTTTTCAAAAAGGACTATTGCTAGTATTTTTTGTTAAAGAAAATAAATATAAAACAAAATAATACATATATAGTACATTTCTAGGGCAGGCGGAAAAAAGGACATTGACCTCAAGTATTATGTTAGTTTCGAAACAAAACGACAGCTATTGCTTCCATACATTTCTTTATAAATTACGTATCGTTATGCGCTAAGCGTGTCTCATGGTACGGGGTAGGGTGAAGGGAGCGGTCATTCAGAGGTAATAAACCTATATAGATGCGATTTGCGATAGGTCTCACGCGGAGCGTATTTGAGAAAGCGGATGGAGCAAACCATCAAAACATAACCATCCAAAACGGATATAAAAAAGAAGACTGCCGATATTTTAGGTTATAATCAATGTGACGGTCTCTTCTACGTCTTCATCCTCATAAAATCATTTTGAAATAGATACAGATGAATAGTCTGTCAAGTGTCTCTGACAATCTATTATGAGAAGTTTTATGCATGCTTCAAGGTTGGCTGCTTAAGAATGCTTAGCATTAAAAGTTCGTCTTTATACCTGACTGCCAAGAAGTGGTTATGTTTTATACATACAACCACCTACTTACCTACTTATTAAAGTACTTACCTACTATTAACGTAATAATGAAAATTGAGATTATGATTTATAAATAATAAATTTAAATGAATATTAATTTGATTTGAAATTCATTTAGGTACAGGATATTCTTCTTTCTTTATAATATTATAATAGACATAGGACCTGTAAAGAACTTCACACTCGGCACCCTTATCTTTCACTCTGGTGATGTATGTAATGATAAAAGGATAAAAAAATGAACCTAAACAAAAAAAATTGCCTACCCCGATCATATCTTCAAAGGTCAATGTACTTTTTTCCGCCTGCCCTAGAAACGTACTATAGCCATATACAAACTTGCATTTAATAAAAAAATTGATTTGTAATGCAGTAGATTTATAATTTGATAGGCTGTAAGATAACGGTAATTTATACACAAAATAGGTACATTTATAAATAAATAAATTGGATAAAGTATATATACGAATACAAATGAGCTACTAATCAAATGGTTCTGCCAGTTTATTCTTAAAATGTTCGCGAACTTTACGTAACGATTGTTAGCCGTTCATACTTCAAGGAGTGCGATCTAGAGGAGAACAAAATGTACAGTGAAGGATGAAAGTAAAAAGCCAGATCTATATTGAGGAGTACACAAGTGAAAGGTTATTCGATGAACGTAGGTTTCCGTAATCCCTGTTGCAAAGGTATCGAAAGTGGGGAGTTAAGTAAGAGGGAGGAGTCGTTCTTACTTTGTCGCTGAGGAATGGCCACTTTGTGACAGAAAAATTATCGTATTTACACTTAGCGGTCAGCCGCCGTAGAGTCTACATCACCTGAAGATGCCTCGTGTAGAGACTGAACACGTGTCGTATTATCGTCGATGGTGTGTCTTTCCTAAAATAGTGGTGTTGGGAGTGGTGGTGCTGGGATTAGCTGGATTTCCGCAAAGTAACGCCTGATTCTATCAATTATATTATAGTATTTGTTGAGAAGATCTGATGATTTAAAATTATAATGTTATTCATAGGGAGAAATAAGCCAGGAGATTGGCAGCAGCGTATTGCTAATAAGAACTAGAATATATAAAACTGTGGTTACAAACCTGCCTGCCACGAGGAACAAAGCCTTTGTTCAACAGTGTACTTTGATGAGCTGTATGATGATGACGATTAAGAGCCCTATTACATATCTGCGTTACACAAATTTAGGTATTTTACGCTCCGAGCGGGCGACTACCTACGCGAGCGATACTTTATTTCATAATATCTATTCAATCGCTCGCACTATGATACTGTGAGTATAACGACTAAACGATCTTGATCTTCCATTATACAAGTTTTCTTAGGATGTAGTTCAGTGGATGGAAATTTTTGGTGTGTAATTTTTATGTTATCTAATTAATTTATTATAATCTATTTGATATAATTTTCATTATTTATGAACCTTAGTGTTGAAAAAAGTACACATAAATATTTTAATTGTTTCGCAGTAATCGATTGTTAACCGATGTTGGTTAATAATCGATTTTATTTACTAAAGGTAGCGTAGTGGTATAAATAAATAAATAGTACGGTTGCAACCTGCTTTAATAAATAAAATAACCATATTGTTATTATAAAATATTTGCCGGAACTGCATTGACCGAGCTTATCTCGAGTCAATAATTTCAGGCTGTACACTTTTTGTAAAACGCTTGTAACTTGGGTAACACATTCAAAATCCAAAATTTATCGTCTTTTTAGATTTTAAGTACTTTTACTGCATAATCTGGGCCAGTTCATATGACAAGCATGCAGACATTTCTATTTTCCATTATTATTTCTCCAGAGATAGGATATTTCTTTTTTTACGTTTAGTGGCACATAGATACTTGTATTTATTTTCCCCCATTCCAATTGGCAAGAAAAGCTCAGCTACAATCAAAATAACTATAATGACTAATGAGTTAACTTTAAACTAATTGAAATATACTGTACGAAAGTAAATACTTCCAACGATCAAAAACTGCGATCGTAGTTGAGTTCTATTTCGGAACACAGGCCAAAATAGCAGCGCCTATAAGGGCAAACGACGCACACTACGATAATATCGAAACGAGACGAAGCTCGCGAAATCAATAGACACAGGTACACCCTCGACAAGCGGTCGCGCAGTAATAATTTCAGAAGGCCGGCGCAGGGAAATATATGATAGTTTTATTTAATTAATTAAAAAATAATTGTAACGATTTAAAATTTAAAAAAGTCGAGGGATACTCATCCCAATTTACCTGTCCGGTAGTTGTGGTATGGTATACGGGTATGCGACCCCGGCTACCCTAGCTATTACTGTCCTATCCCTTGCCTTCATGGACGGTAATATCCTACATTTCCTATTTCCTACCCTAACTTACCTTACTCTTCCTTTTCACACCACCTATCCTTCCCGTTTTCCTATTCCTACCCTCCGCCAATCCAACGTCGGCCGCACGGATGGATGCATGGCTAGGGGCGAGCCTAGTCGTTAGCGTGCCACACTGCCCTGGGACCGGGCGACCCCAGAATTAGGCTAGCCTTACCCTGGCATGCGGGGCTCTGCTGGGGGGACAAACCTTTCCTTCGCTATTCGTGGGAACGCAATGGATAATCAAAAAATTTACCAAAATGGCGGCGATGTAGCTCGCCACCCATCACGTCTCGTTTCTCGCGGGGGCGAAAAGCGGCCCACAGAGAGCCGCTTCGCTACGTTGAATGTAAGAGGAGGGATGGATGGTAAGGTAGATGGAGTATGTCAGATGATGGATGAACGTTGCATTGATATTCTGTGCGTGAACGAAACCAAGAGGAAAGGATGTGACACCACGGTTCATGGCCCCTACACGGCATACTGGTCGGGAGTCCCCCAAACCAGCCGAGGCTGTCAGGGAGTTGGTGTGATTTTTTCATCTCGAATGGTTGAATGTGTGATGGAGCATGAATGTGTAAGCCCAAGACTCCTCTGGATTAGGTTAAAAGTCGGACTCACCCGCTTGTTTATCCTTGAGGTCTATACACCGACAGATCTGCGTGGAGGTGGGTCACTAAAATCACAACAAGAGAGAGGAATTTTGGGATAGCATGAGAGAGGTCTTGAATAAATGCGGAGAGAATGAACGGATCGTGATGTTAGGGGACTTTAATGGATGGGTTGGAGTAAAGCGTGATGGGTATGAAGGAGTTCTGGGTATGTTTGGGGACGAGAGAGTGAATGACAATGGGAGAAGCCTGCTTGAAGTATGCTTGGAATGGAATCTGTGCGTGACCAACACAATGTTTGACCACAAAAAGATCCATCTGTATACAAGAGATGAGGGTGAGTCTAGAAGTATGATTGATTTTGTAATTGTGGATGAAAGACTGAAGAAGAAAGTGCTAGACACTCGGGCATACCGCGGTGTAGGCCTCGACACAGACCACTTCCTGGTCATAGCCCGAATGCGTGGCCTCTTTAAACGGTGGTGACACCGAAGGGCCGAGCCTACGAGTGTCTTGGATAGAGTAAAAGTGGAAATTCTACAAGAAAAAGAAAAGAAAGACGAGTATGTAGAGAAACTGAAAGAAAGTTTTAAAGGGATAGAAGAGATAGGAGTGATTGAAGAATTTTTTTTTTATAGGATAGGGTGACAAACGAGCACACAGTCCACCTGATGGTAAGTGGTTGCTGCGGCCCATAGACATCTACATCTATCTTCCATTACAAATCAAAATGCAGATGCGTTGTCACCCGTGAGGACTGAGATGGAATGCCTCATTTCCAGTAAAAAGGGTCTCCGGTTCTCTACACTCACCATACGAAATACAGCAGCATTAAGCTACTATTTCACGCTGGTATTCTGTGAGAGCATGGTCCTTCCCCGGTCGAGCCGACCCATTCGTGCTACAACTATACTACTAATATAATTGCAGCATGGCTCTACCACGTTTAAGAATTTGTGGGAGACATTTAAGAAAGGGGTTGTAAATGTTGCGATTGAGGTATGCGGGGTAGCTAAAAGAAGGAAAGGTAGAAAGAATGATAACGTGTGGATGGATAAAGATGTACAAAGGGTTGTGCAAGAAAAGAAGAAAGCGTGGTTGGATTGGTTAGCAACAAAAGCTAACCAAAAAGTTCAAAAGGCAACGGATGACGAGATAAAGGAAGCAAGAACGAAGTATAAAAGATTGAAAACAGCAGCGAAAGAAACTGTGTCTAGAAAGAAAGAAGAACGAAAAGATGATTTCGATAGGAGGCTCACTAAAGATTTCCAGTCGAACATTAAGTTTTTTGGAGGTAAGTATTTGAAAGTTTGTTTGAAAGAGAGGAAGTGCAGGTACAGCATCTGCCACCTTCCACGGAAACGAATATAAATGTTGATGAAAATGAGATAAGCATGGATGAAATAGTGAAAGCGTTGAAAAGTATGAGATTAGATAAGGCTGCAGGGTATGAGAGGATTACCGTCGAGATGCTGAAGGCTGGACAGGGCCTGGTGGCTAGTCAGCTGTACCGCCTTTTCAATCTGTGCTGGCGAAATGGGCAAGTGCCGGGAGACTGGTGCAAAGCCGTAATCGTGCCATTGTATAAGGGAAAAGGGTCACGGCAGGACTGCATAAATTACCGTGGTATAAGCCTTCTTAGCGTCGTCGGTAAATTATATGCGAAAGTGTTGATTGAAAGGGTTGTGAATGAAACAGACGAGAAAATATGGGATGCACAAGCGGGATTTAGAAAGGGAATGGGATGTACGGATCAGGTCTTTTCTTTGCGGTGCATAGCCGAAAAGTGTTTGGCTAAAAACAAGAAAGTCTACTGCGCCTTCGTAGATCTAGAAAAGGCCTATGATAGAGTGGTGAGGAATGAATTGTGGTCGGCACTGTCCGTGAACGGTGTGAGCAGTGTCCTCATACGAGCATTGCAATCTCTTTATAGGGATTCTAGTGCTTGTGTAAGGATAAACGGGGCATACACTGAATGGTTTAATATCGAAAAAGGTGTTAGACAGGGATGTGTAGCGTCACCGTGGCTGTTTAATCTGTTCATGGACAATTGTTTGACAGATTTAAAAGAGAATGAAAGTGGGTTGAGAATGAATGAGTTACTCGTCAAATGTTTTCTCTATGCTGATGACCAAGTATTACCTGCGTCTTCGGCCGAGGAGTTGCAGGAGATGGTAACTGCTATGAGTGGAGCTTTTGTTAGAAAGGGAATGAAGATGAAAGTAAAGAAGACGAAAGTGATGGTGTTTGAAAAAGATGAGGCAGTGACAGACTACAATATCGTGATTGAAGATGAACAAATTGAACAGATGAAAGAGTTTGTGTATCTGGGGTCAAAGTTTACAAGAGATGGAAAGTGTGAGAGTGATATCGAAAGAAGAGTGATTGCAGGAAACATGGTGAATGGAGCTTTGCACTCCTTTATGAGCAGTCGGAAAGTGTCTAACAAGGCTCGTTTGGCTGTGCATGAGAGGGTGTTGGTTCCGACACTCATGTACGGAAGTGAAAGTTGGGTATGGCAGAAGAAACATGAAAGTAGAATAAATGCAGTTAAGATGAGAGCATTAAGAAGTATGATAGGAGTTAAACTGAGTGACAGGATAAGAAATAGTGAGATAAGGAAACGTTGTGGTTTGAAAGAAGATGTAGTGACAAAAATTGAGAAAGGTATGCTGAGATGGTTTGGCCACATCGAAAGAATGAATGAAGAACGATTGACGAAAAAAGTGTATAAGGCGAGTGTGAATGGAAGTGCTGGAAGGGGTAGACCTAGGCGGACTTTTCTAGACCAAATTAGGGACGTCTTGAAAAAAGGCCCGGTTAATAGTACCCTAAACCGTAGAGCATGTATGAAGGGAATAATGAAAGTAGACGAAGCGAAACAAGTATGTAAGGATCGTAGCAAGTGGAAAGAAGTGGTCTCTGCCTACCCCTACGGGAAAGAGGCGTGATTATATGTATGTATGTATGTAACTATTTAAAAAGTAAAAATCGTAGTATAGTTTAAGCAAATGTTGATGATTATTTTGGTATAAATTTTACGTCAAAATGATGTAGCATTTCGGAGATATTGGGGCTTGTATTGAAGCTTTTTTAGTCGTTAATTGAATTATGTCGATTTTTTTTCCTTAGGTGAAAGGCATATAACGAAAATGTATTCTATCATTATTAAAGTATAGGATACTAGGAAGATAAAATATTTTTTTGATGGTTGATATTCAATAAAATCTACAAATTAGAGCTCCCAAATCATGTCTCTCAGAGTTTTGGCCTAAACATGCATCGGGAGAATGATTAAATAAACAAATAAGTTATCTAAAATTTGCTTTGAGCTTATTGTAGTAGAGAAAACGAACTATTTTTACCAAGTAATTGTTATTTCAAGCAACGAACGGAAAACATATAATTTCAACGGGGAAACTTTGTAATTTCGCGATAATACGTAATAATCCTGTTAATACAGAGTTCCAATTCTGGAAAAATATTTGTGTGAAAGGACAAATTATTTGTTTTAGAAGTCTGATAAAGTTATCATGAATGATTGATGAATTGGAAACTTCCTTCAACCTAAAGCATTGGATGGAACACCGGTAGGCGGGGGCCTCTATTTTACGCGTACTGGTATGCGAGGGATTAAAACTCATTTTCATGAAAAAATTTAACTTTAAAATTAACCCGCGTAACTATCATGATATATTAAATACTACAAATTAAAGGCCTTCCCTTTGACAGCCGTCCATATATATTTAGCTTTATCTGGGACCTACATTCTAAAACCAAGATTACTTTTCCGCCTGCCAAACGATAACGGCAAATCCCCTCAACTGTGGGGGGTCACTATTACATTGTGTATTCATTAACATAATAACAAATAATACACTATTATCTTACATACCTAACTGCCTTGAATGCATAGCCTTTTTTACAGCTTCATCAGTTTGGATTTTCATGTTTTTCTTAACAGCTTGCCTAGCCGCGAGTATCCTTCGAAGTAATGCTGGTAATACTCCACGACGTACGGATGGTTTTATAAATCCCACCCCCACTGGCGACCAATGCACCAGTCCATTGGATACTAAAGTGTCTAACTTGGATTTTGATATTCGCAAACGCCACGCTCCAAATTCATACGGGGTATCTCTGGAAATAAAATATGTTTTAAGTATTTTAAGTAACTAGCTGGGACCCGGCAGATTGCTGCAGCAGAAGAGATAATTGTAGAAATATAGTTTTAAATTTGGAAGAGTTGTATTTTTAATTAAGAATTATATTACAATAATTGAAATTGAATGATCTATAACTCTTAAACAAATTGTCGATACGACACGCGCGTCACATAGTGTAAGTTTTTTTTTAATAATTATTCTCAGTTCATCTGCTGTTTTTTATTTTACAGCACCCTTATTTTCTTTTTCTCACATAGTGTAAGTTAATTGTACTATGCTTATAATCTTCGTGCAAGTTTAAGTTTAATAAGTTCACAATGTTTCACCGTAATCTGATGAACGGTACGGCATAGCATAAATACGAACAAACAAACAATTTCTATATATTATATGATGGATTGTAAAATAATTGTTGACCAGCACTATACAGAAAATTCTCTGTGAGAGATAGTTTTTCATACGATGACATTTACAGTTAGATTCTTGCACTGCATTACTAAACCTTACGTCCATACTATACACGGAAAATATTTTATGGAGTATTTTAAAGATATGTTCGTTTAATTTTAACATAAGAATTAAGTGAAAGAATTTAACACTTTAATAATCCAAATATTCTAAATTCGAAATACTTTGCTTTACCTTTGCGAATGTTCTACCCCATAAAGTATTTTATTAAAGACTATCTGCACAGATATGAAAATACTAACACATAAATGGCACTTAAGAAACATACCCATTGATATTCTGCACTCGACCGATGCACGTAGAGAAGCAATAGTTGTACGCGATCATCATCGAAGGATACAGACTTTGGAAATCCAAAACTATAACTGGATCCGAATAGAAACGTGATTCTACGAAAAACGAAATTCATTGATTTTTTTTTCAAATAGACAAAATTGAATGAAGATCGTAACAACTTCGGAAAACACGTGAGAGATTAAGTTAAAAGTCGCACACAATAGGTTATACAGGATATGTGATAAAATCTGAGATTTTTTAAACTAACATAAGCCAATGTTTGTCTATTATTACTGAAGGTAAATAATGATGCAGCCACAAATCTTATTCATTCTAGACTTGAAGATACCCTTGTTGTATTGGAAACTAAAAATTATGTCAAATAATTCATCTCCAGAGCCAACGATTTGTTGTTCGGTGGTTGAACGGAAAGGAAGGAATCATGTTAAGCTATTTCTGTGAACTTTCCGAAATTTATCCGATAGAAAGCCGAGAGGCTGGCTATTTTGACTGGCAAAATTAGTCTTAACTAGGTTAAGGTCACCGATAAGTGTCTTAGCTCACCTTTCCATTGAGTACAAAGCTGCTATGTGATATTTTTCGGCACTACTACATACGCAAGACCGGACTTACGCTTTACATAGTGTAAGCAGTTGTCCCCGCGTGAAGTTCAACGCGCCTTTGCAAGGGCACCTTACATTTTTGCAGCTAGTTTAGGCCTTTCGACTCAATGAACCGCCAAAATTTCAGATTCGAGTAAATCCCAACCCCCAACAACTGAAGGCGATAGGTATATTTCAGTGATAGATATATCTTGGAAAGAAGGAGCCAATGTAAGCTGGTTTCTTTTTGCGGTGAAGAAACGCGCTCGTGCTTTCGGGACGTAGCACAAGATTGGCATCAGCTAGCGGGTGCTGTGGGTGCTCAATATACGTAAGTGTATGAAGATAACAGAGATTGGCCGATAATTGGCAGTGTGGGCAAGGACGTCTCATTTGAGCCTGTGACCATCGGTTGGCCAAAGTCCAGGAATTGGTCTTTATTCCAGTCCTAAAAGAATGACGCAACAAATTTGTGAAAATAAGAGACACCTCAGTCAGGCGCACAAACCTTTAGTATAACATAAATTGTATTAGGCCCATTCGTCTTGTTTTTTTTTTTAAGAAAATTCTTTCTAGTTATTGGGTTTCGGACATAGGCGAAGTTAGCATTAGTTTCGTCTCGATCGTTTTGGCGAGAGACCGAAAACCTCTGCGAACCTCTACTGTCAGATGATTTGGTTTGGATGTTGCTGACATCCATTGTTTATCGAATCAGAAGCATTGAGAATCAACCCAGGATTGATACGTTAAATACCTTCAACATAGCACTAGATAAAACATAACAACTAGATAAAACAAACAACCACAAAACCACCACCGCCATAATTTTTTTCGTCATTTAGGAAGACTAATTTCTGTTAAATTTATACAATATTTAAAATTTATTTATAAAAAAACAGTTATTGTGTATACTGCTCAATTATTGTTTTCTAAGAAAGGTTTATAGATGTCAGCAGCAGTTTAGAAACCATGTGGATTTTACTCACCGGGTTCGAAAATTAAGGGAAGACACTCAGGCGCTCGCATCGCAGCGCGCTGGCGTACCGTCGGCGACAGAGCCACGAGGTTAAGAGGGCGAGCTGCCCTCAACATCAGCGACTCTACGCGGAACTGCGAACCACGCGACAGTACTTCCCACCATTGTAACCCAAACAGCCGCGCCAGTTCCGACGTGCGGTCTGAAAAAAACCACCATTTGATGTAACTAAATTGCATTTGATATAGTGCAGCATGTTGCTTAAATATCTACGAAAATAATGCAATTTAACCGTTTGACCGTGTCCTGTGGGTGTCGTAAATGGTGACAGGGGGAAGCAAACCATGAGATGGACAACATCGTTTCCTAATAGCAACAAAAAAAAAACAAATCTGCATTTTTTATAGAAGAGGGGGCAAGCAAACATGCAGTTGACTTGACGATAAATGGCAACCGTTGCTAGTGAGCAAATGCAGTAGTGAAATCGCAGGTGTATTGCCGGCGCTTAAAAAAATATTAAGCTCGTTTCTTGAGGTCGTTGCTTAAGACGAATCGGTCCGGAAATATCACCAGTTGTAAACGATACCAAAAATAAGTTACGCGAGGGAGAAAACTATTAATAAATCTAAAGTGGTGGACCGCCAAGCATCCAGATGGTGTGATAGAGGGAATGGTATCCGGATATGCCAATATCGAAAGTATCCGAAAATCTATTGAATATAATTTCCGGACACTAGTGGTAAAACGAATATAACGGATGGTTACTTTTTATTATATCACAAACGCTTTTCACATTGTATTTTAATAAAATCGGTTATTCCCAATCGTAAAGTTGTGACGACGATGGTGTATCAACACTGTTTTATGTTAACTATTTCACAATAATTAATACAAATCAATTATCTCAATGCAAAAAAACATCTTGAGAAAACCTGCATGTCTGAGAAATAAGAAAAGAAAATTTTTCGAAGACATGTGAAGTTCGCCAAGACGCAAATGGGTCAGCGCGGCGGACACTTTCTTGCCCTAAAACCCTCTCAGAAATGCAATGCGGGGAGGCCTGTAGTGGGAAACGTATATAGTATATAGGTAACTTCTAGCTAGCAAGGTAGAAGTTATTCTGCTATTTTTGACGACATTTTGTTACATAAAAAAATCTTTAAATTGGCAATAAAAAATATTGTGGGTCACTCATCGAGTTAAAAACTATTATCTGTCTCAAGTTGGACCAAACTGCACACAGTGTGCAAAATTTTATTGAAATCAGTTCAGTAGTTTAGAAGTTCATCGCGAACAAACAATGTGATAGTGATACGTAATTATTATATATAAAGGTATTACTACCTAATAGTTATATACGAAAGTATTTATGACAAGTATTAATTTCAATTTTTATGCTTATTAAAGTTAAAGCGACAACAGCTTGATGGTAAATTAGTTTAATTCGTGTAGTTTTCAATCGTCAGATAATAGTTATCCATCATGATTTTTTTAACTCCACACTAGGATTTTCTCCCGTACCGTAGTTACATAAAAAACACATGACAAACATCCAGATTAACAAATACATGTTCAGTGCGGGATTTGAACCCGCGGCATATAGCATTGCAACTCATTTCTAAGCCACTGCGCCACGGAGCCGTCAAATTATAAAACCTGACTGGATATATAAGTGAAACAATCGAATGATGTTTTTTTTATAGGATAGGGTGACAAACAAACACACATTCCACCTGATGGTAAGTGGTTGCTGTGGCCCATAGACATCTACATCAATCCTCGATTACGAATCAAAATGTAGATGCGTTGTCACCCGTGAGGATTAAGATGGAATGCCTCGTTTCCAGTTAAAAGGGTCTCCGGTGTCCTACACTCACCATACGAAACACAGAAGCATTAAGCTACTATTTTTTCTCAAATGTTTGTTATGTGTAACACGCCTAATGATTTTTTTAACAATTTCATATGGTAAGTTTTAAATAACGTGGATGTTTCATAATAATCTTCATCAACATTATTACTAGAGGTGGGCCGAATATTCGTTTTATATTCGGTATTCGGCATATTCGGCAGGTTTACCGAATATTCGTATTCGGCCGAATATTCGGCTAAATCACCGAATATTCGTTAAAGTGGTACTCAAAGTATCCACTGTATGGAAATGTACGAATTGAGTAATGCCATGTCTTTCATAATTTTACTGTTGAAAGTATATTTATTTTTGGGTTAAATCTACTTGTATAACGTTATGTTTTTGAGGCACTGTAGATTTATTTCCAATTATAGCAAATAGAAAGCTTGATAAAATTTTGTTTGGAATCAAACAAAGAAACATTACATTACAGTCGTCAGTTTCTCTAAAATTGGTCCAAATAGTAGATCTCCTGCCACTTATTTTCATCACATACTTATCAATTTTCACTAAGAATACTTTTTTTTAAAATGGTCAAAACATAAGCATGTGCCGACAATTTGCTCAGTATTGGATGATGCAATAACATGTCAGGTGTGGCGGGGGAGCGAGGGGAAGGCTCTGGCGCTAGGCCCACGCGTTTTATGGTAACAAGTTTCAACATAAATTGGTTAGGTACCGAGGTAATCCTGCCGAATAATGTTCGGCCGAATATTCGGTTCGGTAAAAATTTTACCGAACGTTCGGCCGAATATTCGTATTCGGTGAATTCCATATTCGGCCCATCCCTAATTATTACAGCCTATCACAAGTCCACTCTTATCAAACCGTCACTCCTTCCAATGCGTGGTCACCTTACACTCTCTTTAACAGTATATCGAAGTGCTGAAGTGTATGTACAGTAGGGACCATTCTCAATAGTATGTCGCAACCTCTCAGTGGCCAAGCTAGGGCTCCAAACTAGGGCAAGCCCAAGATATGGTTTTGTTGTTTTTAGCAGTTTAATAAAATTACACCAATCTTGAGCTGTCTCCACTCTTAAGTTTCATATTCAGTGCTGTCAAAGACGTGTTTAACAAAGCACACAGAAAGCATACTACCGCTAGATAGATTGTATGACATATGCTATTGCACACCTTCGGTGGTTTTGAAAAGAGCCGTTTGGGTTTGCTTGAGATATTTACATACAATGGAATACATGAACAAAAGAAAAGCATGAACAAAGTACAAACAATGTACAAAGTTAAAAAAGGGACGCCTGCGGCCTGGCAGATGTGAAACCTCGAAATTATTTTTTAAGTTATATATAACAGCATAAAAGAACAGATTACGACAGGAATTAAATAGTTATAACGAGATGATAAAGCTTTGCTAATTTTTTACCATAAAATAATGACTATTTATTATATAATTATTCATTTTCAATTCATAATAAACCGTACAAAATGATATTTTTAAACTCATATGGTAATATAAATTAGCCGATAGCGTATTTGTGCCATCTAGCGTAATCTTTAGGTACCATCGTGAGAATCAACCAATTTTCGTTCGATAAAATGACTTTACCTATAGAATTAAGTAGATGGCGCTATTAAAATTTTATATACTGGAAATAACTAAAAGGAGTATTCTTTAAAAACCTCAATACATTCTTCTGTATTCTTTTGATTTATTACATTAAAATTTGGGCTTCACGTTAAAAAAAAAGATTGTAACACTTATTTCCTTATAAAATTAAACCTAGGTGTCTCATATTTTCTGCTGCCGTTCAAATTGATATTATTAATTCATATGGTAATATAAATATTGAGTTATTAAGACCTTTAAATACGACTAACTTAATTAAACTTTAATACTAAAGAGTCCTGTACCTATATTTAAAGTATGAAGAAATGTTTATTGAATATTAAATTTCATTTTTAAAGATTTTACCTTTTCCTCGGCGATTAAAACTTCAACACACTTATATTTATTACAATGAACACTATTATCCTCCCATTTTCACTGAAAATCTTTGAAAAAGCGTAAATTTTTAACAAACACAACAAAAACAAACATAAACATTGGAATGTGAAGTGAACTTGCATACGAATGGCCCGCACCCCATTCGCTAGTCGCTAACGCACTCCTAAACAACTTCATGGCAAAGCCAGGCTTGTGGCTCAATAGTAATTGCAATATAAACATGTCTTAGTTATATTTCATTATGGAACATTTTGTCACAGTTTAGAAAGGGAGCGATCGCCCTCTCGAAAGCCCCGTAAAAACCCACGCGTGCGAGGGAGAAAACCAATCGCTCAATTAACTCTCCTTATATGTATGACAGCAGTATTCCTAAGGCTACGAGGTCGAACAGAGTGCGCGGGATATTTGAAATAGTTTGAAACAGTTTACGAGTTATTTTAGTACTTGATATAATTGATTGATTCATCTTAATGAGGCAAGCCGGGCTTTTGGGCTTGTATAGAGGCTTCGCCACTGCAACGTCTTAAAATGAACATGGACAATACAACGGTCATTTGTAACGTGTAACGGATTCAACTTGGCTAGGCAGCGTTCGGGAAATAACGACATATATTCGGGTCATATATACCTATAAACTTGAAAATAAAAGTGAACAACCAGTGCATGTCACCAGTGATGACATGGGCCTTCACTGCTGGCCGTACGAGGAAGTTCAAAGTCGCTCAGCGAGCTATGTAGAGGTCTATATTAAGCTAGAAGTTTCTCTGATGTTAGACTTTGTAGCGAGTATATCCACTGTAGAGACCAAAGTAACAGAGATAACCTGACTGATCAGTAAGCTGAAGTGGTAATGGGCCGGCTATAAGCTCGAAGAACCAACCACCGAAAAGGAAGAAGAGTTCTCGTGTCGCAGATTCGTACCGGTAAGCAAAGTCCCTCACTAGATGTAGTGTCGATCTGGTTAGAGATGCAGGAAGTTGGACCGTGATTTGCTTATGCCATTTCTTGAGGAAGGCCTGTGTTCAGGAATGAACTTATTATGGCTGTAATGATTACGATTATTTAAGGGCGGTTCTGACTGCCAGTGTATAAGCTTCCTGTTTCGTGACTAAGATCAGAGAGAGTATTTACTAGTACTTTTTACAAAACATTTTTGGAAATCATTATTCATCAATTATTAAAAACACTTCAATTGAACTTGAGAAAACTTACTTTTTTACAGTAGGTTAAAATAGCAACATGATTGCTGCTGCAATAATTACTAAAAATGAGGAATTTAAACTTAATGTAAGCTTATATGTCAAGGATAGATAAAAATATTTATGGCTCACAGATTATTTTGGATAACTTTGGATTTGGACGCATCCCATTGACTTCTCAGTCATTTTAGTCACATTAAAATAGTTTAAAGCTTGATTGTACAATAAATTATATTCATAAGTTTTATGCCAGATACAAAATGAGAAAAAACTTACTTATCATGTCGAGCTTCTCTAACATCCTCACTGTACCGGACAGCTTAGTTAGATAATATTCAACAGGTATCCATCTCAAAATCCTAGATTCATCTTTCCACCAATCCGATAATTGGGTAAAGCTATATGAAGGTACTCTTTCGTTTAAAATTACATACATACAATTCTCGAAACTATAACTCGATAGTGCTAACTCATGACGGAACAACCGCCAAACATTAAACGTGATTCTTCCTATCACTCTTCCTTCAAGTTCTTTGTCGTCACTTCTGTAGCGCTTTTGTCGATTATTCTCTGTTATTCTTGAAATATACTTTATAATTTCTATGCCTATGTTTTGTGCTCTTTCTATGATGTAGCCCCAAGAATTCATTTCTATTTCATATCCACACAGAATATCTGGATCATGTTTTTCCACTAGCTCAATCAATTTTTCTAACAATTGGCTCTCTGTATCCAGATAGGTAATATTTGAATCGAAAACGCATCTGTCCAAATATTTGGGCGGCGGAAGTGAATCCACAACTAGAATTTCAGTTAATGATTGTAATAAGAAGTGGTTAGATGGGCAATCGTTTTTCACGGTAATAAATATTGCCTCAATCGGGTCTATTGAAGGATTAGGATTCAAATCTCCACGAACTGAAGTGTGTACTTCCACAAGCATAAGAGTGAGAAAATCCATCTACAAGGTTAATAAAGTACTATAAAAAGGATTCAAGAAAGGCTTTTTAAAAATTCACATAATAATATCAATAATTAGACATACCTCTGCAACAGGTGTGTCAATTATGCTTTCATTTTGGCTTAATGCTCCTCCAAAACATAGAAATGATCCATCAGGTTGCATTGTTACTTGAAAGCTATTGTTGATTTTCGTTTTATCCTAGTTTAAATATCATTTTAATAAAATTAAATATTAATAACATTTAAAAAAATCAAACACTGAAATAACGCTTACCTTATCTGTACATTCTAAGCTAACACTACTATTAAGTTCATCTTCAATTAAACCTATAACTTGTGATGATTCAAGTTCATCTAAATGTTTACTTATTTCTCTACAATTCAGTCTAGTTTCGCCTCTGTTTGGGGATATTTCGATTTGCTCTTTAAGCCATTCTGTGACATTATGATATGTAGGGGCCTTTATAATTGGTTCTAAAATGTACTGTTTATTACCAGCCAACAGAGATTTTAAAATTTCTGGCTTAGTCGTGTCATCTGACATTTCATTTGTTTGTTGTATAAATAATAACTGTCTCCATTCTTCTATTCCGGTTGTATTTAATACTTTTTCAAAGGAAACCTGATCCTGAGCTGTTTTGCTGTGTAATTTTATAACCAATTGACCAATTTCTACTTTATCTCCAACATCTTTATAGTTAGAATAGAAAGGTTGAAGATTAAGAGTTTTATGAATAAAGTAATTGTCTAGTGTGGAAATAATATGATTCTTTGTAGGAGGCCTAATTTTAGGTGTTATTATCACTCTCTTAAAACTTTCACTTAAATTGTCAACCTCTACGGGATCTAGCTTTATTTCAGTTCTGTTGCTTAATGTTTCTTGTTTATTATCACCAGCATTAAATATATTACTATCATGACTTTCCCCTATTTTCTGTGAGAAATGCATATTATTCTCATTTTCTAGGGACATATCGAAAATTTTTGATGTGTCATAAAAGCTTTTAATACCAATGTCAACTTCTTCTGAAGATGAATAACAATAATCATCTGGAGAAATGAAAGACAAATTAACCTTAATGTCTTCAGCCATTATCGATTTAGACGGTCCTGCAATAGGCTTAAATTCATTCTTTCGATCATATTCAATTGCTGCTTCTGTATTATCAGTCAATATTTCTTCTCTGACATTTAAATTTTCTCTACTATAAGGTAACTTTTCCCTCACAACTGATATAGAATTAAAGTTTGTCTTAAGATTTGCTTTTGAAATATTCATAATTGATTCTATACTTGTATCTGAATTTTCTATTTCACTTATTTCTTTTTCAGAGTTTATTTCTTTAATGGTTAATTTTTCATTTTGCTTATTCTGTATATCTTTTTTTCTCGGTTTTGGTAGGCCTAGTTTTAATGATCGCATTTTTCTTTTCCTGACTTTCTTTACATCTGGAAAGTTAAGCTGATTACCATAAAGTGACAAAACTTAAAAAATTACCAAGTTTTATTAAGTAATGCTTACGGTCATCATCACAAGTTCCGTCTAATTGTGGTATGCTAGCACCATCCCAAAAAGAATCATTCCAAGAAGAGATGCATTCTTTTGAGACATCTTTACTAAAAATATTTATAACTATTAACTTAAACATCTGGTTTGATAAAAATATATTTCCAAAATAATGCTGAATATTATCTTAATATATCACATACCATTCACCTGGGTCCAGTAATATAGTGTCATCATTAAATACTTGTGAATATTCATCATCTAACTCAGAGTCTGACTGAATTTGTATACCATCAGCTGGAGTACCCATTACACTATCCTCATCTATTGGCTTGTCATCCATATCTTGAAGCATATCTACCAACTCCAAGTCTTCACTATCCACTGAAAGAATTGGTGGATTAGTAAGCTCTTTTTTTATGATAAACTTAATGATTCTATATCTATACAAAAAAAAAATAAAACTGAAGTGTCTGTTTGTAATGTCAAAATAACAGCTTTTAACAAAATTCATATGATAGTATATACGGTACTTACAACAAAAACATAATTTTTTAAATTTTTGTCTGTTTCTGTTTGTTCCAGATAATCTTTGAAATGGTTGAATTGATTTTGACGGGATTTTCACTGGTAGATAGCTGATGTAAGGAGTAACTTAGGGTACTTATATTTTAGAAAAAGAATTAAGGTTCTGCGCAAAAAACTTAAAACCCTAAATTACGTGCGGGGAACAGCTAGTATTTAAATAAAATAAAAGATACATACACAATACTTGACTGTAATGTAAAGAAAAACTGCTATTCAATGCTATGTCCTCATCCACTATTGTGTTGTTAATGTTATCAAGAAATGTATCTTTAAAGTTTCTTTTAATTGTTTTGTTTAGGCTGAGGTTTAATGTGTCTTCTGGTAAATGTGTGCTAACATCAGATGCATTAGAAAGTTGTGATCCCTCCACAATCTCTGCAGGATAATGTATTTCACAAATATTTCTTGCAGTTTTAGTTTCTGGATCGACAGGTTTATCAATTATTTTTGAATTTTTAACTAAAAACATATTTTGAAATTTATAGTGTGAATCTGTCTCATCAGTTTTATCTCTGCCTTGAGAGAGTGATTTGGATGCTAATGATATATTTAATTGTTTACGTCTTTCCATTTCTTGATTCCATACTTCCTGAAGACCTGGATTTTCAATGCCATCTGCCTTTCCTATTCTTTGTCTATTAATTATATGTGATGCAACACAATCAGCTTCATAATAACAAACACTTTCGGGTTTTAAATTTATTTCATTTAAATTTTCTAATGTTTCAATACTGTCTTGTGAGAATCCTGATCTACGAAACTTAACTCTTTGCAAATCCATATTACTCATTCCGAAAAGGTTAAAATCAATGAAAAATTGTAATGTAAAGTTAAGATGTGACTCGTGAGGTTGCAGATGTTGTCCCAAAATAGCTCCATTACTACATAATTCTACTGCTTGTTTAATTAATCCAGGATTATATAAAAAAGTCTTCAAATATAAATGCTCCTTGTCGTGAAATCCATAGAAAGGTCTGTAGAAGAATGTAAAAGTTTAATTTTATTTAAAAAAATAATTAAGTATAAAAGATGAAACAACAATGCAAATATACTTACAATCCCTTCACTAAAGATATTTTATATACATGTTGATTTGCTGATGTTGCTTGTTTTAAAGCTATGTTTAAAGCCTTGTCCAAGCTTGCAGCTATCTTAAAAATACCAATTGGTTATAAAAAATATGAAACATATGAATGTTTAAAAATATGACAAATATATTACCTGATATAAAAACTGTGGTTCAGGGTTTGGTGCAGGACAAGGAATATAAAAGTAAGGAAAAACACCATGAATGTGAAGACATGCCTTCCTTCCATCTGGAGTAGGACCAAAAACTCTAAGAACTGGAACCTATACAGAATTTAGTGACAAATCTTAAACTAGTAGATAATATTATAGACAAAGTATTTTGAATACATAACTATCAAACTTCACGGGAATTCTAATGCTTATTATTTTCCATTACTATTATAGCTTATTAAAATCTGCTGCTAAACACAGGCATACCCTATAAATTACATCATAGGGAAGATATTTGCTATAGTTGCCACGCTTGGCAATCTCAGTTTTTAATTTAAGTCTTTATTAGGATGGTGCTGCTGCCCATCTCCTGATTTGTTTCCCTCTGTCGCCTTTTACAACACTCACGGGATGATACGGGGTAATGGGTATTATTACACCATCACTACGCAATGGTTATTACTTTATCAAATTCCTCAAATTTTAAATACTAATATCACGAGCATATTAAAATTGCATTTAAAATATTAGACTGCAAATGAATGAAAAACAAAAAAAAAACAGTACTTACAAATAAACTTTTTAGAACTACAAATTATAGAATGCTTTTGTTATTTTTACTACCTGTTTAATGTCAGACCCCCTAAATTCAGAGTATATAACATCAACACCAGGTATAGGTTTCGTAAGATAATAATCGCAAATGACAATGCGTATAGAAAACTCGGGGTTTTTTGAAGTTGATGAATCTGAAAGCCAATAAGTAATTTTTACATATAACAATTACTTTTCTATGATTCTTTCTAATATGTAACCGTTTTTTATAAAAAAGATGTATATAATCATCAATCTACATATAAAGAAGAAGCTAACATACATTATACAAACATATACGTAACACAGCAGTTTTTGTGAAAAGGAGCAGACCTATAAAATATGTCAAATCGGTTCTAAAACCGAATTAGCACACCCCGACTCCACATAGTCTTGTCTGCCCTACTCCTAGTGTTTTTATAAAGCCGTAGGCACGGTGGGAGAGCAGCCCCCGCCCGCTGTAGCAAATCGCAGGCACCTAAGTGAGCCGTAGCGGCTGAGGCTGGTTGCCGAAGCTGCGGAGGCGAGCATGGGTGCCTGTGATTTGCTACGCAAGGGCGAAGGGGCTGCACTTCCCGCAGTGCCGAAGCCATTGCAGAAGTAACTGCGTCAATATTCCTGTATAAAAAATGAGGTTATGATTTTACAAAAAAGGGGGGTTTCCGACACTTTCCCCTTTTAGGGGGAGGTTCCCTAACCCCAGCCCCCCCCCACTCGGCGACCATATATTCATGCGGCAGATTACTAAAAAAAATTCATAAAAAAGGGGGGGGGGGGGTTCCGGCACTTAATTCTTTTAGGGGGAGATTCCTACCCCTCCCCCCATACCGGTATTGTTTTCACAAATTAAGTGATTATGAAAAAGACTGCTTTTCAGAACAAAAAGTAATACTCACCAGTTAGATCAGCCTGTCCAATTTTTTGGTCATTGGGAAAAGAAAACGTATTCATTTTCACCCTGCACTACAATGTTTATTTTTATTACCTACTGCTAGGTTAGGGTAACTCAAGTAACAAATGACAACAACAACATTCTTATTTGAATTTGAGTGACACTGACATTGACATTTCTCAACAGAGATTTTTTTCATATAATTGTCTTTACAGCTCTGGGTTCTAGCCCCTCTGAGCCTATCATTTCTTTCAGAATTTTCATTTTATATATTTTTTCTTCACAATCTGATGATGCGTCACATTGTGAAGTTTTTGGGAGATTTTGACGACAGCTTAACTCAGCGGACTGTTGATAACGACAACCACTCAAATTTATAAGGTGCCCAAGCGCTCAAATTAACTTTAGGTTAATATCAATATTAAAGCACTTGTTTCATCGTTTTCTAATAGTTCACACGTGCAGCCACTTAATTTACAAAATCACACCACTTTTACGAATTAAAATCCACTTCATACCACTATTCAAGCGATAAAATAGGATCGACAGTCTGTCGACGGCCAAGTTCCCGCCAAACCTCTCTCAACAAGACATATAGACGTATATACATCATAGATAAATAGATATGTAGCAAGATATAAAACTCTCTAGCCTCCATGTATATAAATATGTTTTAAGATGTCCAAAAAAGCCTTTAACCATGGAGGTTAGAGAACAGGAGAACGATCACTACGTACTAAAGCATAGCCCGCCTATCCTTGAAAATTTTTAGAATTTATAGCGGCGCTGCCGTCGGTAGTGGTCGGTAGTGGCTGCGAAGTTAGCTGTTTATGAGTACAAGTAGATGAAATTAGTTGAATAATGTACAAACTTTCTTCGCGGCATTGATAAGAAAATGTTCATGCTCCGTAATTTTTTTAAATTTTGACAAAAAGAAACATTAAAAAATTGAGAAATATTTCATTGTGCGTGGATGTGCAATTGGTTTAGCATCTGATCGGAAAATAGACTGAAAATGACTTTTATTGAGCGAACTTAGCGATCGCAGCGCCTCACTTATTGTGTCCATATTTCTGGGACACTATTTTCTACGGCGATCGTTCTCCTGTTCTCTAACCTCCATGGCTTTTAAAAAGGCCGGTTGGTCGCGAAATTATTTTTTTTTTTTTTTTTTTTTTTTTTACAAAATGGTTCATTGTTCTGTGAGTTATTGTGGTGATAATAATATAAATAATGCTGATAATTACACATTTCACAGGTAAATTCTCAAAATGTCGTCAATAATAAGACGCGTCTATTTTTGGCTTAAATTTATGTTACATACTGTTTAAAAATTAAATGTTTTCAATTATTTTGTTAATTTTAATATTTAGCAAAGAAAAAAGTCACGTTGTTGATAATTTTCATGAATTTGATAAATACATTTTTATACAAAATATCTTCTCTCCCGTGGCTGGCCGTGCTACTCAAAAAAGTAGCGCCATCCCAGCCTGGAGAAAAAGAATGGAGGACCGTATCGCAAAGGCAAGGGCCCTTATCGGCAGACTGACAAGCTTCAGGTCGGGTAATAATAGACCGAGAGTTGTGCGCACCGTTAGAATGGCGTTTGCTGGGAAAAATTTTAGTTTGTCCCAGCCGGATATCACGCAAAAACGAACGGAGCGCATAGATGACCTGAAGCAAAACATCGCTGCTTGGGGGAAGCGGATTCGACGATTTAGTGAGAGGTCATGGCGGTTCAACCAGAATCGTCTCTTCCAGAGTGATCTGAAGAGGCTCTATAAATCATTGGAGCGACCAGAGGTATGTGGAGCGGACCCAGGACCGGATCAGGCTGACACTGTCGCATTTTGGCGTGGCCTGAGGTCAGAGCCCGTAAACCACAGCGAGGGCCCTTGGATGGAAGTTGTGGCGAGCCAGAGTGCAAGTGTTACGCCTATGGACCCCGTCACCATAACGCCTGAAGACGTGGCTGAGGCGGTCCGTAGGGCCCCGAACTGGAAAAGTCCGGGGCTCGACGGGCTGCATCATTACTGGCTGAAGGGGTTCGTAGTATGTCACGCTGTGCTCGCCCGACAGTTTCAACAGGCTCTCGATCAGAAGTCGCTCCCGAGCCTCTTCATTACTGGGATCACTCATTTGGTTCCTAAAGATCAGGATACCACAGACCCGAGCAAATACCGTCCAATCACGTGTCTACCCACCATATATAAGACACTGACATCCATTTTGAGCGCGAGGATCACTCGTCACCTGGAGCTAAATCAGGTGATGTCACGCGCTCAAAATGGATGCTGGGGCGGTGGTCGTGGAACCACGGAACCACTCGTCATTGACGCGGTCATTGGCAAAGTGGTGAAACGCAACCGTCGGAATTTCTCCGCTGCCTGGATAGATTACAGAAAAGCATTCGACTCGGTGCCACATACATGGCTAAAGAGAGTCCTCCAGCTGTACAAAATTGACTGTACAGTTGGAGACTTCCTCGAGCAGTGTATGGGGCAATGGAGTACGATCTTTTGCTATCTGGGCGAGCGGATGATGGCTGCGGAGAACCACATAAGGATAAGAAGGGGTATCTTCCAGGGCGATTGTCTGAGTCCAATCTGGTTTTGCCTCTCCATGAACCCTCTCAGTACTTTACTGGAGGGCTCCGGGAGGGGATTTCAGCTTCGGAAAGGAGGTACAAAAGTAACCTACCTTTTCTATATGGATGACCTCAAGTTATTCGCCTCCAGTCGCTCCCATCTTATGGAATTGCTAAACATCACTTGTGAATTTAGCAATTCTAATGGAATGGAGCTGGGAACGGATAAGTGTGCGTCCTCCATGTTGAAAGGGGAACGGTTGCTAACTCTGAGGGCATAGACTTATGTATGCCCGTCAACTTAAGGACCCTTTCCGAGGCTGGAACATACCGATACCTGGGTATGTCACAGAACATCGGTATCGATGAGGCTGGTATGAAACAGTCAAATTGCGACGTGTTTTATGCACGCTTGACCAAAGTGCTTAAGAGCCTTTTGTCCGGTGTGAATAAGGCACACGCATATAACGGTTGGGTCATGCCTGTCCTCATGTATACCTTTGGCATACTCAGGTGAACCCAGACTAAACTTAACGCCCTGGATAGAAAAGTCCGCACTACCATGACGTCCCATAGGATGCATCATCCGAGATCGTCGGTAATAAGGGTGTACTTGCCGCGAAAGCATGGTGGACGTGGTATTCTGAGCGCGCTCACCATGCATAATCGCGAAGTGTGCAGCCTCAGTGATTACTTCCTGGCGAGATCGGATGATCCATTCTATAATGACGTCATTTCTAGTGATAAAGGGCTTACCCCTCTATCCTTAGCCAACGAGCAATGGCAGGACCCAGCAGTGCTTAGCATTTCCGACCGGAAGACCGTATGGAAGGAGAAAGAGCTCCACGGGAGGTTCTACAAGGCTCTACATGAGCCTTTCGTATACACAGTAGCCTCCCTCCACTGGCTATGCTTTGGTGATCTCTTCGGGGAAACCGAGGGTTTTGTCTGTGCAATACAGGATCAGGTTATTAAGACCAACAACTAACGGAGATACATCCTAAAAGGATGGCAGCGTGGACATCTGTCGAGCTTGTCGCCATCCCGGTGAGTCGCTTGAGGCATGTCATCTCCGGTTGTTCGGCGCTTTCTAACTCTGAGTACTTGCGCAGGCACCCCCTGCCGAGGGCCTCCATCTGGTTGGGCTTTTATTTATGTATGTATTTTTATATTTATTTTATTCTCATTTTCATTTATAATTATATATTTATAGATCCCAACCAGATGAGAAAACTATATTGATACCCCACAATAATAATAAAAATAAAATTTTTGTATTTATTTTATTTTATTGATATTTATGTATATTTATCGTTTCATTTTAATTTATAATTATATATTTATATAACCTAACCATATGAGAAAACTATATAGATACCCCAAATTAATAATAAAAAAAAATAACTCTGAGTACTTGCACAGGCACAACCTAGTAGCCAGAATTCTTAACCAGGACCTCGCTCTGAAATACGGTCTCGTGGATCGGAAATTGCCGAATTACAAGTACTTGCCGGAAGCCGTGCTTGAAAATGATCGCTCCAGGCTCTATTGGGACCAGGCCATCATCACAGACAGGACTATTCTTGCGAATAAGCCTAATATTGTGCTGATGGACCGGGCACAGTCAAGGATAATTTTTGGTCGACATTACCATTCCGTATGACGAGAACCCCATGAAAGCCGAAACAGATAAGCTATCAAAATATCTGGACCTGGCTCACGAGGTGACCGACATGTGGGGTGGTCTGCCGACCGAAATTATTCCTGTAGTCGTCTCTGCAAACGGGCTAATCCCAGTCAACCTCACAGGTCATCCGAGGCGGCTGGAACTACGTGGCGGACCGCTCCAGGCTCAAATACAGAAGGCGGTGCTCCTCGAAACCGCCCGCATCGTCCGCCGGTTTCTTTCCCTTTCCCCCCTAACCCTCGGCCGTTTGGTCTGCCCTGCCGGGGGCCTCCATCTGGTTGGGCTTTTAATTATATATGTATTTTTATATTTATTTTATGTTATTGATATTTATGTATATTTATCTTTTCATTTTCATTTATATTTATTCATATTTATATGTTTATAGAACCCAACCAGATGAGAAAACTATATTGATACTCCCCAATAAAAATAATAAAATGGCGTACGGAAGTGACGACCCCATCGCCCGCTGACGTAACGGTTATGTGACAAAACCGCTACTTCGGCGCAGTCAGTCAGCACCTTGCCAAGAGGTGTTAGTGCCGTGCCTCGGCAAAAATTGAAGGTGCAAAGTCCCGCTTGTGCACATGGCCCAGCAACTAAAAACCATGCAACGGCACCGGGTCTGGGCGTCTCCCGTTAAATGACGCCCACAAAAATGGACGATAGATTTGACTAGAATGCGCAAAGGGCCGCTGCCTGGAGGTCGTCAGGGCGCGTCTGGAGCTGGCGCTGGACGCGACAGCATGCGAACCGCGACGAGGTGCTGCACGACCACCCAGCAGCCCCTCGCATCCATCATCCCCACCAGCTGGCTTGGTGTCGGCAGGGTCTTTGCGGGCCCAGCAATCGGCACCCGCCACTGGTGGAGCACGCCGCATGCATTGGACAACTCAAATGAACAGTAACGCATTGCGGGCGTATTATAGGGCGAAAGGGGGAGAAATTTGGAGGTTTTGCGTATCGGGCAAGGATGCATCGACTTTTTGCTGAGTTGGAGCTATCTGTTAACAGTCACCGAGCAAAACCTGGCAGACCGAGTTTGGTATATCTTGCGCTCAAATACATTTGATGTCACCGAATTCGAACGGCTACGACGTGAGGCTGTTCCTTTATCGGATGAAAATGCTACGACTGAGGATGCGCCACCACAACTTGCACAGCAACCGGCAAACGTGGATGCCGCCGTGAATACCCCAGTTTTGGTTGATTCAAACGATGATGGAACAGTCGCCCAGGAACTGGAACTGGAGCAAATGTGGAGTACATTGGATGAGGCGATTTTGGAAACGCGCAGTACGCCTGTCGAAAATCGACCGCGACTTCCCCCGCATAGCCCTAAGCAAGCGGAATCGGGCTATCGTGAGAGCTCTGAACCCAATGCTGGTGTCCTATTTGGAAGCCAGCCGGGACCTTTGCGAGACGGATTCAATTCTCTTTGGCGCCGCACTGGCAGTCTGACGTATTATAGGCGCCAAACTTTCCACGGCTGGACGCACTACTGGGCAAAGTAGTGCTATCCCAGCCTAGAGAACAAGAATTGAAGAACGTATCGCAAAGGCTAGGGCCCTCATCGGCAGACTGATATGCTTCAGTTCAGGCAATACCAGGCCAAGGATTGTGCGCACCGTCAGGATGGTGTTTGCTGGGACAAATTTTAGTTTGTCCCAGCCGGATATAATGCAAAAACTGACGGAGCGCATAGACGACCTGTGCAGAGAATCGCTGCTTGGGGAAAGCGGATTCAGCGATATACCGAGAGGTCGATATGGTTCAATCAGAATCGTCTCTCCCAGAGTGATCAGAAGAGGCTCTATAAATCATTGGAGTGACCAGAGGTATGTGGAGCGGGCCCAGTACCGAATCGGGCCGCCGGTTATTCTCATTGATGCGGTCATTGGCAAAGTGGTGAAACGCAACCGTCGGAACTTCTCCGCCGCCTGGATAGATTACAGAAAGACATTTGACTCGGTGTCCCATACATGGCTAAAGAGAGTCCTCGAGCTGTACAAGATTGACTGTACAGTTCGAGACTTCCTCGAGCAGTGTATGGGGCAGTGGAGTACGATCCTTTGTCATGTAGGCGAGCGGATGAGGGCTGCGGAAAGCCGCATAAGGATAAGAAGGGGTATATTCCAGGGTGACTGTCTGAGCCCAACCTGGATCTGCCTCTTTTTGACCCCTCTCAGTACTTTACTGGAGGGCTCCGAGAGGGCATTTCAGCTTCGGAAAGGAGGTACAAAAGTGACCCACCTTTTCTATATGGATAACCTCAAATTATTCGCCTACAGTCACTCCCATCTTATGGAATTGCTAAACATCACTTGTGAATTTAGAAATTCTATTAGAATGGAGCTGGGGACGGATAAGTTTGCGGTCCTCCATGTTGAAAGGGGAAGGGTTGCTAACTCTAAGGGCATTGACTTATCTATGCCCGTCAACTTAAAGACCCTTTCCGAGGCTGAAACATACCGATACCTGGGTATGTCACAGAACATCGGTATCGATGAAGCTGGTATGAAACAGTCAGTTTGCGACGTGTTTTATGCATTGACCAAAGTGCTTAACAGCCTTTTGTCCGGTGTGAATAAGACACACGCATATAACGGTTGGGTCATGCCTGTCCTCATGTATACCTTTGGCATACTCCGCTGGACTCAGACTGAACTTAACGCCCTGGATAGAAAAGTTCGCACTACCATGACGTCCCTTAGGATGCATCATCCGAGAGCGTCGGTAATGAGGCTATACTTGCCGCGAAAGCATGCTGGGCGTGGCTTTCTGAGCGCGCTCACAATGCATAATCCTGAAGTGTGCAGCTTCCGTCATTACTTCCTGGCGAGATCGAATGATCCAATCTATAATGACGTCATTTCTAGTGATAAGGGCTTAACATTCTATACTTAGCCAACGAGCAATGGCAAGACTCAGCAGTGCTTAGCATTTCCGACCGGGAGGCCGTATGGAAGGAGAAGGAGCTCCACGGGAGGTACTACAGGGCTCTACATGAGCCCTTCGTAAATACAGTCGCCTCCCTCAACTGGCTACGTTTCGGTGACCCATTCGTGGAAACCGAGGGTTTTGTCTGTGCAATACAGGATCGGGTTATTAAGACCAACAACTATCGGAGATACATCCTAAAGCATGGCACCGTCGACGTCTGTCGAGCTTGTCGCCATCCCGGTGAGTCGTTTAGGCATGTCATCTCCGGTTGTCGGTGCTTTCTAACTCTGAGTACTTGCACAGACACAACCTAGTAGCCAGAATTCTACATCAGGAGCTCGGCCTGAAATACAGTCTGGTAGACCGGAAATTGCCGTATTACAAGTACTTGCCGGAAGCCGTGCTCAAAAATGACCGCGCCAGGCTCTACTGGGACCGGGCCATCATCACAGACAGGACTATTCTTGCGAATAAGCCTGATACTGGGCAGATGGACCGGGCACACTCATTGATATTTTTGGTCGACATTACCATTCCGTATGACGAGAACTATATTATAAAATATATATGTTAGTATATATATACATATACATATATATATATATATAATTACCCCATAATAATAACAATAATGATAATAAAAAAGGAAGATGTATAGACGATACTGCTATTCAAAAGGACCTTAGTAATGAATATTTACGTGGGTTGAATATAGTTTGTAAAAAGCAACTTAATTCTAGAAATTTATTTAAAGCTATTAACACTTTTGCCTCCCAATACTTACCTATTCTTTCGGAGTATTAAAATGGTCAACCACAGATATACGAAATCTTGAAATCAAAACTAGGGCTACCCTAACTAAACACAAATATTTGCATCCTAAATCGGCAATTGAATGACTTACGATAAAGAGAGCTATAGGGGGTCGGAGTCTGATCGATCTTAAAAGGTTATGGGAAGGGCAAATAAAGAACCTGCAACCTTTCTTTTATGAAAAATTAGCTAATAGTCCGTTACATCAAACAGTCATTGAATTCGATAACAATTATACCCCTCTAAGTAATAGATTTACTACAGTAATTGATCATGAAAATGAAGAGCTCTCAAAGTGGCGTAGTAAAGAATTAAATGGTAGAAATGCGCACGATTTAGAACAACCTCACATAGACTTGCTGGCTTCAAATAAATGGTTAAAAGTAAGTTCTCTTTCCCCCGAAACCAAAGGTTTTCTTATTGCTATCCAGGATCAAGTAATCAATACAAGAAACTATAAAAAAATATATTAAAAGACCCATACATGCAGAATGATAGCTGCAGGAAATGCCACCGCCAACCCAAAACTATACAACATATTACCGGCGCTTGTCCCAACCTAGTACAAACTGATTACACCCACCGTCATAACCAGGTTGCTAACTACGTTCATCAAAAACTTGCAAATAATAATAATACATAAACACTCACGCCTGTCACCCAGAGGGGTGGCAGAGACTACAGACTTCCATTTAGCACGATCCTGAAGTACCTCTCTCGCCTCTTTCACACCCATATACCTACGCATACATGCTCGTCGGTTAAGGGTGCTCTTAATTTGGCCCATTTTGCCCACTTGCAAATAAATACAATTTAATCCCGAACCAAAAACTACTGCCGTACTATCAGTATACCCCTAAACCTGTTCTGGAGAGCGACAGTCACAGAATGTACTTTGATACAGCTATTCTTACCGATAAAACAATTCATTACAATAGACCGGATATAATTTTAATTGATAAATTAAATAAAAAAGTATACCTAATTGATATAGCGATCCCAAATACCTATAATATATAAAAAATACACAGAATTAAAAGAAGAAGTAACTAGAATCTGGAAAATTTACAAAGTATATATTGTACCGCTGGTGCTCTCAAGTACTTGTGTGATCCCGAAATGTTTGTCCCACTCCCTTCAACGAATAGATCTTCCTAAAAATAGTTATATTAAAATACAAAAAGGAGCCATCCTCAACACGTTTGACTGAAAATGTTTGCAAGAAGACACCTTGAATTTTGATTCCTAAATGGATGCGCACTTGGCTTAGGCCCGTGAACATCTCCACCAAACCAAGATTTTACAAAATCTTGAAAAAGAAAAAAGAATACGCAATAATAATAATAATAATCCTTTATTGGAGGGTATCAATATAGTTTTCTCATCTGGATGGGTTCTATAAATATATAATTATAAATGAAAATGAAAAGATAAATATACATAAAACCATTACTATCAATAACATAAAATAAATATAAAAATACATAAATAAATAAAAGCCCAACCAGATGGAGGCCCTCGGCAGGGGAGACCAAACGGCCGAGGGTTAGGGGGGAAAGGGAAAGAAACCGGCGGCCGATGCGGGCGGTATCGAGGAGCACCGCCCTCTGTATTTGAGCCTGGAGCGGTCGGCCACGTAGTCCCAGCTGCCTCAGATGACCCGAGAGGCTGACTGGGAATAGCCCGTTTGCAGAGACGACTAAAGGAATAATTTCGGTCGGCAGACCACCCCACATGTCGGTCACCTCGTGAGCCAGGTCCAGCTATTTTGTTTGCTTATCTGTTTCGGCTTTCACGAGGTTCTCGTCATACGGAATGGTAATGTCGACCAAAAATATCCTTGACTGAGCCCGGCCCATCAGCACAATATCAGGCTTATTCGCAAGAATAGTCCTGTCTGTGACGATGGCCCGGTCCCAATATAGCCTGGCGCGATCATTTTCGAGCACGGCTTCCGGCAAGTACTTGAGACCGTATTTCAGAGCGAGCTCCTGGTAAAGAATTCTGGCTACTAGGTTGTGCCTGTGCAAGTACTCAGAGTAAGAAAGCGCCGAAAAACCGGAAATGACATGCCTATGTGACTCACTGGGATGACGACAAGCTCGACAGATGTCGACGGTCCCATCCTTTAGGATGTATGTCCGATAATTGTTGATCTTAATAACCTGATCCTGTATTGCACAGACAAAACCCTCGGTTTCCCCGAAGAGATCACCAAAGCGTAGCCAGTGGAGGGAGGCTACTGTGTCTACGAAAGGCTCATGTAGGGCCTTGTAGAACCTCCCGTGGAGCTCATTCTCCTTCCATACGGTCTCCCGGTCGGAAATGCTTTGTACTGCCGGGCCCTGCCCTTGCTCGTTGGCTAAGGATAGAGGGGTAAGTCCTTTATCACAAGAAATGACGTCTTTATAGAATCATCCGATCTCGCCAGGAAGTAATTACGAAGGCTGCACACTTCGCGATTATGCATGGTGAGCGCGCTAAAGAAGCCACGCCCACCATGCTTTCGCGGTTAGTATAGCCTCATTACCGACGATCTCGGATGATGCATCCTACGGGACGTCAAGGTAGTGCAGACTTTTCTATCCAGGGCGTTAAGTTCAGTCTGAGTCCACCGGAGTATGCCAAAGGTATACATGAGGACAGGCATGACCCAACCGTTATATACGTGTGTTTTATTTACACCGGACAAAAGGCTATTAAGCACTTTGGTCAAGCGTGCATAAAACACCTCGCAAACTGACTGTTTCACACCAGC